GAGTGGATGGATGGATGGATGGATGGAGAGATACGTGAGTGGGTGGAAGGATGGATGCCGCATGGATAAACAACATGGGGTCCATGTGCACAGGGGAATATTATGCAGCCATGAAAAAGGAGTGAAGCTCTGGCACAGGACACAGCGTGGCTGGACCCTGAAACACACTGCTCAGTGCGAGAAGCAGACACAGAAGCGGACACAATGTGTGGTTCCTTTTACACGAAACGTCTTGAACAGGCAAACCCACAGACTCACAAGGCCCACCAGGGGCTGGGAAGATGTGGGAACTCTTTAAGGGTACAGCATCTCCTCGTGAGGGGGATGAACATGTCTGGAACCAGACAGAGATGACGGTCGTGAAAGCCGGCGAGCCCTGCCCTGTAACGCAGAGTACTCCACTTTCAACATGGTGAACTGTGCAATAGGTGAATCTGAGCTCCATTTTTAAACGTGTATCCGTGTGCACTGGGGGAGGGAATTGGGGGGTGACGGCCTGGGCGTGCAGGGTTTCTTGTCAAGGCGATGAGGACGTTCTGGGATGGCGTGATGGGGCTGGTTGCGTCTCTTTGCAAATATATGAGAAACCGCTGTGTCCCTGGTGGCCCAGACAGTCAAGAATCCGCCTACAATGCAGGAGACTCAGGTTGGATTCCTGGGTTGGGAAGATCCCCTGGAGGAGGGTGTGGCCGCCCACTCCACTGTTCTTGCTTGGAGAACGCCTTGGACGGCGGAGCCTGGTGAGCTACAGTCCAGGGGGGTCGCAGAGAGTCGGACACGACAGAGGGGCTAACGCCCGCACCTGTATGTCAACTTTGCAGAGGTGATCTTGATGATGTTTTCCTGGCAGCTCTGTAAAGCCCTTAAGAAGAGCGGTCCACGGGGATGGGGGCGGGCGGGGGGTACCTAGGAGCCAAGGATGGACAGGCTGCAGCTCTGTGCGAGCTTGTGTGTGACATCTGCGTGCAGCTTCCTGCAGAACCTCCGCCCCACCCTGCACCCTGCGGCCCCCAAGCCTCCAGGCTGCCCCGTGCCTCTGGCAAAGAGCCTCCTCTGCCCGCCCAGCGCCCCGGGGGGAGCGTTTTGCGGCCGCCAGCAACCGTTTCTGGCTCATTTCACGCCACTTCCATCCCCCACCCCCTAGTCGTCCGCGCGCCCGCCCGCCCGCGTCTTTGCGAGCCGGCCGCCTCTGTTAGAGGTGATTTCTTTATGAATCAGCCGCGCGTCGCCGTGCTGCAGGGGAAGGCGCTGCCTGCCCGGTCCCCGAGACGGGCACAGGTGAAAGCTTGGGGGGGCCCCCTGGGGTCGGCAGCTGCGGGGTGCAGACCGAGGCCTCCCGGACGCCCACGTGGCTTCTCTGCGGGGGCCAGCCGCTCTGTTATGCAAATGAAGTCTCTTTTGAAGCTCCCACCGGGAGGTTACGACAGATCCGGGGTAAGGAAGGGGGGTGGGGGAGTCATCACCGGGCAGAAGTGGAAAAGCGTGCTAGCGGCGGAGTCGTAGTCCGACTCTCTGAGACCCCGTGGACTGTAGCCCCGCCAGGCTCCTCTGTCCGTGGGATGCTCCAGGCAACAACACTGGAGCGGGTTACCATGCCCTCCTCCAGGGGATCTTCCCCACCCAGGGATCGAACCCAGGTCTCCTTCATTGCAGGGAGATTCTTGACCATCTGAGCCCCCAGGGGAGCCCCCAGCAGGCTCCCCGCCCCCAATGCCACTCGACGGGGGAGACTGGGCTTTCTGTCTGCAGCTCTCTGCAACTGGCTCCCCCATCTACTCAGATTCCGCCCCCCACACGACTGTGGATACGCAGTAGCCTCCTGGTCACCCCCAGCCCCGTCCCCTCCACGAGTTCCCCTTTCCACTGCATATCAGAGAGCTCTCTCTTCTCCACGGCCCCCGCCCCCTGCGGCCTCCACGTGCGATCCTGAGAAGTCCGGGTCCCTTCTGCTCCTGAACCCCAAAGGTGGATGGAGATGGGGGGCCGTGATGTGTGGGGTTGCACCCCCCCCAACCATAACTGTAAGGTCGCACCTGGCCGTGAGCTAGTGGTGCGGAAAGTTTTCCTACTCAGAGCGAAACCCGGGCCATTTTTAAATGGGTTTGAGGAACCTCGTTCGGCACACCCCCACCGCAGATGTCACATCTGCGGAGGAACACATAGATGTCCGCGGCGCCAGGGCCTGAAAGGGGAGCTGCAGTGCCATCAGCGTTGAAGGGCCGCGCGTGCAGGCTTCGCCGGCGACTCGGGGACCATGATTCCTGCCAACAGACCCCCTGGGGGATGGACGCCCTCCCCGGACCGCGCGGGCAGGTGTCCAACTGCAAGGCGCACGTGAGCCAGGGGGCGTCTTCCGGGCAGGAGCTATAACGGGGGTGGCACCCGGCTGCCCAGCTGAGCCCCACGCCCAGATTTCTGGAGCCCAGATATCAGGCGCGCGCGCGCGCGCGCACACACACACACACACACACACACACACACATGGCCAAAAATAGAAGTGATAGCTTCAGCCACGGGAAAAATAGCAACTTCGCCAGGTGGCTGAGACAGTAAAGAATCCCCCTGCAGTGCGGGAGACCCGGGGTTGATCCCTGGGTCGGGAAGATCCCTTGGAGGAGGGCGTGGCAACCCACTCCACCATGGTTGCCTGGAAAACCCCACTGACGGAGGAGGCTGGCGGGGTACAGTCCATGGGGTTGCAAAGTCGGACATGACTGAAGGACTGAGCAAAGAGGTAACAAAACCATACCCAGGACTGTGAAAAACCTACAGAGACCAACTGCGAGCTGCCTTTGGGTCGCATTTACATAAGAAACGACAAAGAAAGTGACACTTGGAACCCACTCTGTCCAGAAGGCGGGTCAGGCAGCCCCAGGAATTGCTTCTCCCCGGGGCCCCGGGCCCCTTTCTCTCTGTGAGTCTGAGGGGCCGGCCCGTCACAAGCAAGGTGTGTAAGCNACAAAGAAAGTGACACTTGGAACCCACTCTGTCCAGAAGGCGGGGCAGGCAGCCCCAGGAATTGCTTCTCCCCGGGGCCCCGGGCCCCTTTCTCTCTGTGAGTCTGAGGGGCCGGCCCGTCACAAGCAAGGTGTGTAAGCAGCTCCGGGGACTTCTCTGTTTTGAGCGGGGAGGAAGGTCAGCAGGAAAAAACAGAAGTTCAAGAGTGCAAGTTTCAGGTTCCAGCAGCAGGAGTCAGCTCAGAACTCACCGTCTCCAGCAGGCTGGCACTTCCAGTCAGGGTCCGGGCCATCTTAGCACCCCATGCGAGGTCATTCAGTCGTGTCTGACTCTGTGATCCCGTGGACTATAGCCCACCAGGCTCCTCTGTCCGTGGGATTCTCCGGGCAAGAACATTGGAGGGGGTTGCCATGCCCTCCTCCAGGGGATCTTCCCGACCCAGGGATTGAACCGGGGTCTCCTGCATTGCAGGCAGATTCTTTGGCATCTAAACCACCAGAGAAGCCCACAATTGAATACACATGTGTTTATATACATACATACACATGCATGTATATACCATAAGATTTATATCTGTGTGTTATGTATAGACACACATATATACTCACACATATATACACGCAGTGGACTTCCCAGGTGGCACTAGTGGTACAGAACCCATGTGTCAATTTAGGAGACCCGAGTTTGATCCCTGGGTCGGGAGGATCCCCTGGAGGAGGAAATGGCAACCCACTCCAGTATTCTTGCCTGGAGAATCCCATGGACAGAGGAGCCTGGTGCGGTACAGTCCATGGGGTCACAGAGAGCCAGACATCCGTGCAGTGACAAATAATGCATACATGCCATATGGTGTGTGTGTATATCACACACACACACACACACACACACACACACACACACACACGCAATGGCCTTCCCTGGTGGCTCAGGTAAAGAATATTCTGCAGGTAAAGACTCTGCCTGCAGTGTGGGAGACCTGGGTTTGATCCCTGAGTTGGGAAAATCTGGAGGAGGGAAAGGCTACCCACTCCAGTATTTTGGCCTGGAGAGTTCCATGGACTGTCTAATCCATGGCGTCGCAAAGAGTTGGACTCGACTGAGTGACTTTCACTTTTTTCACATACATGCAATATGGTGTGTGTGGCTATATCACATGTATATACATCTATACATGCAATATGGTGTGTGTATATATATCACATATATAAATATAAATATATAGTGTGTGTATATCTCATATATACATACAATATAATGTGTGTGTATGTGATATATATATACATATACACATGGACTATGGTGTGTATGTATATATCACATATATAGATATATACATACAATATGGTGTGTATATATATCACATATATATATACATATATACATGGAATATGGTGTCTGTGTTTATATATCACATATATAGATATATGCATATTGTAGTGTATTTGTCACATATATATATACACATACACATGGAATATGGTGTGTGTATATATATCACATATATATACATATACACATGCAGTATGGTGTGTGTGTATATATCACAGATATATAGATATACACATGGACTATGGTGTGTGTGTATATATCACACATATAGATATGCACATGCAATATGGTGTGTGTGTATATATCACATATATAGATATACACATGGAATATGTTGTGTGTGTGTATATATCACATATATAGATATACACATGGATTATGGTGTGTGCATATATATCACATACATAGATATGGACTATGGTGTGTGTGTATATATCACATACATAGATGTATACGAACAATGTGGTGTGTGTGTCACACATATATGTATATGCAATGTGTGTGTGTCTACATCACACGTGCATACACCAGACGACGTCAGCGCTCCCGCGAACGTGTGCGCGCACCCGTGACGCTCCGGTGTGTCGCCCGCTCTCCCAGGACGCCCCGCCCTCCCGCGCCTCTCACCTTCCCGCCTTGTCTTGCAGATCGGCAGCGCCTATCCGGGGACCACCCGCCGCTCCCCACCGCGCGCCCCTCGCCACGGCCGCAGCATGGACATGAACGTGACGCGCCCGGACAACGCCACCATCCTGATGCTGCGGAACCCGGCCATCGCGGTGGTGCTGCCGGCGGTGTACTCGCTGGTGGCGCTGGTGAGCATCCCGGGCAACCTGTTCTCGCTGTGGGTGCTGTGCCGGCACATCGGGCCCAAGACGCCGTCCGTCATCTTCATGATCAACCTGAGCGTCACGGACCTCATGCTGGCCTGCGTGCTGCCCTTCCAGATCTACTATCACTGCAACGGCAACCACTGGGTGTTCGGCGTGGTGCTCTGCAACGCCGTCACCGTCGCCTTCTACGCCAACATGTACTCGTCCATCCTCACCATGACCTGCATCAGCGTGGACCGCTTCCTGGGCGTCGTGTACCCGCTGGCGTCCGCCCGCTGGCGGCGCCGCCGCTACGCGCTGGCGGCCTGCGCGGCCACGTGGCTGCTGCTGCTGGTCGCGCTGTTCCCGCTGGCGCGCACCGACCTCACCTACGCCGTGGACGCGCTGGGCATCGTCACCTGCTTCGACGTGCTCAAGTCCACCATGCTGCCCAGCGTGGCCATGTGGGCCGCCTTCCTCTTCACGCTCTTCGTCGTCCTCTTCCTCATCCCCTTCGTGGTCACCGTGGCCTGCTACACGGCCACCATCCTCACGCTGCTGCGCTCCGCCGACCGCCACGGCCGCGCGCAGCGGCGCCGCGCCGTCTGCCTGGCCGCCGTGGTGCTGCTGGCCTTCGTGGCGTGCTTCGCGCCCAACAACTTCGTGCTTCTGGTCCACATGGTCAGCCGGCTCTTCCTGGGCCGCAGCTACTACCACGTCTACAAGCTCACGCTCTGCCTCAGCTGCCTGAACAACTGCCTGGACCCCTTCGTCTACTACTTCGCGTCCAGCGAGTTCCAGCTGCGCCTGCGCGACTACCTGGGCTACGGCCCGCTGCCCGCCGCCGACAGCCCCGACAGCCGCCGCGAGAGCGTCTTCTCCGGGCGGACCCTGTCCGCGCGCTCCGTGGACGGGCAGGAGGCGCCCGAGAGGCCCAGCGTGAGGCGGCAGGAGAGCGTCTTCTGAGACAGGCGCCCCTCATCGCGAGCGGGTGGGGTGTTGAGGGACGGCAGGGGTCGTTTCGGCCTGTTTTCGGCCACTCCGGGCGCACTGGGATTCAGCTGCACCACTCTGGACGCGACCCGTGCTCTGGGGGTCTCACGGAACCCCGAGACATCAACTGGTCCCCCCTCACCACCACCACCATCGGAGCCTGGCAAACGCCAGGGTCAGCTGCGCTGGGTTGCTGTCGGGGGCTGAGCTTCTCCAGTCATGTCTGACCCTTTGCAACCCCGTGGACTATACAGTCCATAAATTCTCCAGGCCAGAATACTGGAGTGGATAGCCCGTTCCCTTCTCCAAGGGATCTTCTAACCCAGGGATCGAACCCAGGTCTCCTCATTGCAGGCAGGTTCTTTACCAGCTAATCCACCACGGAAGCCCAAGAATACTGCAGTGGGTAGCCGGTCCCTTCTCCAGGGGGTCTTGCCGGCCCCAGAATCAAGCCGGGCTCTCCTGCATGGCAAGCAGATTCTTTACCAGCTGAGCCACCAAGGAAGCCAAACTTGTACTCAAACATCCACAAGCGGTGGCCGCCAGACGGGAAGGATCCAGGAGGTGTGGACCGAGGGGAGGTGTGGACCGAGGGTCTCCGGTGGACATGAAGTTGCTGAGGGTGGTCAGTTTCTCTCGCTACGGCTGTGTCTCCCTGGAGTACCTCGGGCTGCAGCTTGCCTCCGGGGGAGGTCTCCCCTGGCCCCTTCTCTGCCCACCGAGCACCCCCAGCCACAGCAGGTCCTCCGGGGGTCTGCGGTGGCTCCTGGTCTGACCCCTGCGATCCTTTGAGGGCCGGGCCAGACCACCGAGCACACGAGCCTGCAGCAGCCCCCCACAGCTGTGCGGTTTTGAAAAGATGATGGACCCCAGTTCCTGGAGTACCCTGGATGCTGAGACAGCAGGTTGTCAGGGTCTGCCTGAAATAATCTCTGGGCATCACAGGGAGAAGCATAGGATGAATTCAGGGTTCCCTCGGCGGGGGGTGGGGGGCCACAGAAAACAGCCCTGAAGCCTGTAAGGTAAGACCTGGCAGGGGCCAGCAGGGAGGGGCTTGGGGAGACCCCCAGGGCAGGGCGGCTGCAAAGCAGTGACCCGTGCTCTGGGGGTCTCACGGAACCCCGAGACATCAACTGGTCCCCCCTCACCACCACCACCATCGGAGCCTGGCAAACGCCAGGGTCAGCTGCGCTGGGTTGCTGTCGGGGGCTGAGCTTCTCCAGTCATGTCTGACCCTTTGCAACCCCGTGGACTATACAGTCCATAAATTCTCCAGGCCAGAATACTGGAGTGGATAGCCCGTTCCCTTCTCCAAGGGATCTTCTAACCCAGGGATCGAACCCAGGTCTCCTCATTGCAGGCAGGTTCTTTACCAGCTAATCCACCACGGAAGCCCAAGAATACTGCAGTGGGTAGCCGGTCCCTTCTCCAGGGGGTCTTGCCGGCCCCAGAATCAAGCCGGGCTCTCCTGCATGGCAAGCAGATTCTTTACCAGCTGAGCCACCACTGAAGCCAAACTTGTACTCAAACATCCACAAGCGGTGGCCGCCAGACGGGAATGATCCAGGAGGTGTGGACCGAGGGGAGGTGTGGACCGAGGGTCTCCGGTGGACATGAAGTTGCTGAGGGTGGTCAGTTTCTCTCGCTACGGCTGTGTCTCCCTGGAGTACCTCGGGCTGCAGCTTGCCTCCGGGGGAGGTCTCCCCTGGCCCCTTCTCTGCCCACCGAGCACCCCCAGCCACAGCAGGTCCTCCGGGGGTCTGCGGTGGCTCCTGGTCTGACCCCTGCGATCCTTTGAGGGCCGGGCCAGACCACCGAGCACACGAGCCTGCAGCAGCCCCCCACAGCTGTGCGGTTTTGAAAAGATGATGGACCCCAGTTCCTGGAGCACCCTGGATGCTGAGACAGCAGGTTGTCAGGGTCTGCCTGAAATAACCTCTGGGCATCACAGGGAGAAGCATAGGATGAATTCAGGGTTCCCTCGGCGGGGGGTGGGGGGCCGCAGAAAACAGCCCTGAAGCCTGTAAGGTAAGACCTGGCAGGGGCCAGCAGGGAGGGGCTTGGGGAGACCCCCAGGGCAGGGCGGCTGCAAAGCAGGGGACATCCCCCGCTCTGGACCTCAGAGATGCTGGTGGGACTGTGAGCCGATGTTACGGAAGCAGTTGGTCCCCCGATGTCGTTGCTTGGGAATGAGAAGCAGACACGCGTGTGACGGAGTGGGTGCTGTCCCAACCCCACAAATCCATGTCTGCCTGGAATATCAGAGTGCGACCTACAGGATCAGGGTGGCCCTAGACCCCTGTGACACGGTCCTTATAAGACACAGAAGGGGAGAGCCATGGACACAGAGAAGCCACGTGGAGATGCAGGCGGAGACAGGAGGGAGGCGGCCACCAGCCCAGGGACGGACACGTGGAGCCTCCAGAAGCTGGAAGAGGCGGGAAGGACCCTCCCCCGGAGCCTCTGCAGGGAGCTGAGCCCTGGGACCCCTTGACCCCAGACGTCTGGGCCCCAGGACTTGGGGCGGATGGATGCCTGTCTGGGATCCCTCATTTGTAGAACAGTCACGGCCGCCCTAGGAGACCCCTGCAGTCTGAGATTCTGAGACTGGGCCTCTGGTCACCGGCCGGGTGATTCTCAGGGTCGCAGTGCCAGGCGCTGGCTCCTGGGGTGGGATCTGTATAGTGCCGTCCAAGCTCTTGGCGGGGAGAAGGACTCGCCTGGGGGTCCCACCCATCCCCACCCCCACCACGGGAGGCCCCCACAGAGGACAGTGTCCAAGCCAGTCCGCAGTGTTTGCACAGGGCAGAGACCCACCATTTGGTGCTTTCAGAATGCTGGCCAGACACACCACCCAGCCCAGAAAGGACGTGTGCCCGTGGGCGGCGGGAGAAGGGCTGGCTTCAGGGACTTGGATCGTCCCAGGATGAGTGTGTGGTCCACCTGCTCTTCTCAGCTGTTCCCAGAGCCGAGCGCCTAGAAAGCCAGGTCACCACGACAACTGTCCGGAGGTGGAAGAACCCTGACCCAGCAAGACGGTGGCAGCCACGTCCTGGGCGTGGGCTTCCAGCGTCTGACGCTAAAAAGCTGTGAAAAACCTCAAACCGCCCTCACGGAACCGTCTTCTTGCTGAGTTGAGAAGCATCACCATCTGAATTCGGAGGAAGCCGGTCTAACCAATAATGCTGCCCCTCACCACCCCTACCCCCCAGCTCGCAATGGGTGTGACGTCCGTCCAGCCTTTGGGTCCCAGAGGGCTCAGGTCATATTTTGTCACCATTGTCACCACCAGTTCATTGTCCAGCCCCTCGGGCCACCGACCTCGCCCTGATTTCTGCGTCCCAAGGACCCCCAGTTCCACTGAAGGGAACCGACAGCATCTTCAGGGAACCGTCGACCTTTCCGAGGGGCGCCTGTCAAATCAGCAGAAATTCCAGGGCTGGATTTCCTTTTGTTTCAGCATGTTAATAATATTGTCTGTGTCTCTGTGTTGGTCTTGTTCAGTTACTAAGTTGTTTCTGACTCTTTGCGCCCCCATGGACTGCAGCACGCCAGGCTTCCCTGTCCTTCACCACCTCCCGGAGCTTGCGCAAACTCATGTCCATCGAGTCAGTGATGCCATCCAACCATCGCCTCCTCTGTAGTCCCCTTGTCCTCCCGCCTTCAATCTTTCCCAGCATCAGGGTCTTTCCTAAAGAGTCAGCTCTTCACATCAGGTGGTCAGAGTATGATATCTCTTTTCTTGAACCCATTTTAAAACACCCACACTGAAGTCATGGGGTTTGCTGGAAATCGGCAGATGAAGACATTGATTTATTGTTTTTCCCCAGTGTCTGCTGTGTCTTTGGAAACCTGTATTTCTGTCATTTCAGTGACATTTCTCAGTGCCGTTAAAAAGCCTCTAGAGCAGGAATGCGTGTAAATGAACAAACTGCATTGGAGTTCCTGAGGGGGATGAAATGTGTCGGAACACAGCTGTGGGAGTCTCGGAGAAACCCCAAACGCCGGGCTGGCTTGTTAATTCCTGCCGCTCGCCCCTGGCCACATCCCTGCCTCGGGTGGGGTGAGGGGGAAGGGGATGAGATTGGAACATAGATCCATCCTTGGAGAAACAGCGACATCGGTTCTTTGTGGGGCCAGTGGGTGCCTGTGATGTCGTGTGTTCACCCAACACGGAAGGATGGAATGACTGCTTAGGGTTTCAATGCTATGGTGACAACTGCTCTTTAAATCCAGAGCTTCTTCAAAATAAACAATCTATTTTTTTTTTTTTCTTCCCAAGCAAGATGTTTGGCTTGTGTGTTGAACAGAACAGGCATCTTCAGGGGCTGCCGCTGGAGTCTAGGGGGCAATTTAACCCAGCGAAGGAGAGTTGATCCTAACTCCACACAGGGGTCATGCGTGCTAAGCTGCTCAGCCGTGTCTCACTCTTTGCGACCCCATGGACTGTAGCCCACCAGGCTTCTCCGACCATGGGATTCTCCAGGCAAGAATACTGGAGTGGGTTGCCATGTCCTCCTCCAGGGCATCTTCCCGACCCAGGGATTGAACCCAGGTCTCCCATGTTGCTGGCGGATTTTTTACCATCTGAACCACCAGGGAAGCCCGATATATAGCATACTCCATGATATACCATATATAGAGAGAGGCTTCCCTGGGGGTGCAGTGCTAAAGAATCTGCCTGCAAGGCAGGAGACCCAGGTTCTTATATACAGTCACATGAACACAAAGATATGTATTAGTTTAAATATAGGTGGTATGCATTAGTCAGGGGTCGTTTTGCTTCTTGGCACTGGGGGCAGGGGCTGCCCCTGGAGGGTGGTGGGAGGAGACCAGAGCTGCTCCACACCCCACAGGGCCCAGGACGCCCCACACCAGAGACTCGTCCAGCCCCAGACAGCGGTAGGGCAGAGACCCCGAGTAGGCATGACTCTTACCTGCTTATCTGTCATCTCTCATCCTCCATCTATGTATCCATCCATCCGTCAGTCAGATCTGTTGGTTTCTATAGTGTAATGTGCCTCATCCATCCATCTAGCACTTTTCTAACACCTACTTATCTGTCTACATCAATGTATATGTATCCATCCATTCAACAGTGTAACCATCCATTATAGCTATCAATCTTCTTATCTATCTATCCATCTATCCGTTTTATCTATCATCTATTTACCTATCCATCCATGCATCTATATCTGGCAATCATCTATTCACTTTATCCATCCATTATATCTATCATCTATCTATCCATGCATCATATCTATCGATCCATTCAGCCATCATATCTATCTATAATCTATCTATTTATCTGTCCATCCGTCATATCTATCTACCTAACCATCCATCCATCATATCTATCATCTATCACATCCATCTATCCATCCATCATATACATCTATCCATCATATCTATCTATCCATCTGTCCATCATATCCATCTATCCATTCATCCATCCATCTATCCATCTATCCACCCATCCATCATACCCATCCACCCTTCCATCCGTCCATCACATCTATCCGCCGGTCCATCATATCTATCATCTATTTATTTATCCATCCATCCATCCATCCATCCATCTATCCATCATACCCATCCACCCATCCATCCGTCCATCATATCTATCTGCCGGTCCATCACCCACCTCTCCAGCCCTGTCTAACCGGGGCGCACAGTGAGGGCTGACTCGGTCCCCCAGTGGACGGGGCGCCTGCAGTGGTCGGGTTGTCACCATTAGTGGGCAGCTATTGCCATCTAGTGGACACAGACCAGAGCCGCTGCTGAACACGCTGCAGCCGCCCAGGGCAGCCCCACGAAAATGAATGATACGGCCCCTAGCGTCAGTAGTGCTTAGGCTGCGAAGTGCCCGCACCCCCAACGCAGGCCGGAGACCTGCGCACACCCCCACTGCATTCCGGGGACCACCATCTGCACAGACTACCGCGCCCCGAAAACCCCCATCTCCACACACCCGCACTGCATTCTGGGGACCCCATCTCCGCCCCCATCAAGCGTCGGGGACCCCCGTCTCCGCCCCCGTCAAGCCCCGGGGACTCCATCTCCCCTCCATCAAGCCCCGAGGACCCCATCAAGCCCCGGGGACCCCCGTCTCCGCCCCCATCAAGCCCCGGGGACCCCCGTCTCCGCCCCCATCAAGCCCCGGGGACCCCATCTCCCCTCCATCGAGCCCCGGGGACCCCCACCTCACCCCACCGAGTCGCGGGGACCCCATCTCCCCTCCATCAAGCCCCGANGCGCCGGGGGAGATGCTGCTGTGTCCGGTGATCCGGAAGCTGCAGCACAAGCGCGTAGTGTTGGCCAGCTCCTCCCCGCGCCGCCAGGAGATCCTCAGCAATGCTGTGAGCGGCCCGGGCCCGGGGTTTGGGGGCGCCGGGGTCTGGAGGGGTCGGGGTCTTGGGGGGGCCGGGCCTGTGGACCCGGGCCTAGTGACTGGAGGCCTTGGGACTCCCGGCGTCGTTACCCAGGCCTCCTGTATGGGCACCAGAGTTGCGGGTCCGGGGTCTAGAAACTGGGGGGTGTCTTAGTAGTTAGGGGACGGCTTTGGCCAGTGGCCGGTGGCTGGAGACGAGTGCCCGAGGGTCCTGATGACCTAGGCTTCATGGGTGGGGGGCGGTGGGGGAGATGACAGGGGCCTTGGGGGGTCTGCAGGGCCGGTGCCTAGTGTTTGGGGGTCCTAATGACTTGGGGGGGCGGAGGTAAGAGGGGGTGGGTGTTTGCAGGCCCGGGGTCAGCGGTGGGCCCGGCTGACACGGTCAGAGATCCAGGGTCTCAGGGCAGAGGCCTTGTGACTGAGGGCCTGGTGAGCAGGGCCGTGGGGATTCTGCAGGGCTGGGGGCCTCAGTGACGGGGTATCTGGAGTCTTCAGGACTGGGGCCTGAGGTATCCTAGGCCTAGGATATCCTAGGTATCAGGATCCTAGTGACCAGGGTCCAGATCTGTGGTCTCCGTGATCGGGGGGAGCTCTGGTCTTCCAGCTCTGAGCCAGGGCTCAGTGACCTGGCGATCTGCTGGCCATGGGGTGTGGGGTTGCCGGGCCAAGGCCAGGTCTGTGTTCCTGAGCTGGATTTGTCCAGGTGCTGGTGGGGAAGGGGGAGGCTTGGTCTGCCTGGGGAGGCCCTATCTGGGAGGGGCAGAGAAGCAGGGATACCAGCTAGGGGGAGAGATAGAGCAGAAATTCTTGCCTGGGTAGGGGGCGTGAGCTGGGCTGGGTGGGGGTAGGTACAGAATGAGGGGTGCTATAAGTACCTCCCGGGGAGAGTACAGAACTGGAGGGGGGGGTGTCTCATAGTGTGACCCAGGGGTTAACTGGGGGCCTGGGAGGTCCACGATGGAGGTGGAGAGGGGGCTGGGATGCAGAAAAGTAAGAGGCAGAGCTGGCTGCTCACAGAGGTCCCACGTGGGCAGTGTGGGAGGGGGAGTTTGACCCTCTGTGGTCAAGACCGCCAGCCCCCACTCTGGAGGCCGCGGTGTCCGTGACCCGCCTCCCACAGGTCACCTGCCTGGTCACCACTCTGGAGGCAGCGGTGTCCGTGACCCATCTCCCACAGGTGACCTGCCTGGTCACCTGTGTTGGGCACCAAGCTAAGGCACCCCAGTTATTCTCCCTCACTCAGCCACTGTGTTTGTGGCTTTTGGGGGGCCTTTCCTGCAGCCGCTGTCATCTCAGTAGTCTGACCCCTGTGAGGGCAAAATGCCGGCCTTTGGGACTCTCCAGGAGCCCTTTGACCCCTCGGGGCTGCACCCCAATCGATAGCGCCCTGCTGGCTTCTGCATGCACAGAGGTCTTCCCACCAGGGTCCCCGGGCCCCCCCACCCCTGCACCGGTCACAGTCGCCCAGCGGCCGGGAGCTGGCCCTTGCTCAGCATCTGTAGTCAGGGAAGGTGGGCTGGGTGGGGGGGGGGAAAGGCAGGCTCCTTCAGTTCCTGTTCACCTGTCAGCGTCCTGGGGCTCCCCCCGCAAACCCCTCTTCTGTCCCGTTCCAGGGCCTCAGGTTCGAGGTGGTCCCATCCAGGTTCAAGGAGAAGCTGCACAAGGCCTCGTTCGCCACCCCGCAGGCGTACGCCGTGGAAACGGCCAAGCAGAAGGCCCTGGAGGTGGCCGGCCGGATGCACCAGGTGAGGGCTCCTTTCCTGGGTCTCCTGCTAGCTGGGCGCCTTCAGGCGTTAATCACACCTGTTGCGAAGCAGTGCCCTTCGCAGCGGGCAGTGGGTGTAGCTTCTCTGTGACTGAGTGTCCTTGCCTTGTGGACACGTGTGATCCATGGGATGGGATTGTTTATGCAACGTTATCTCTCACTTTGCTAGTATGTAGCGTGCTGTTGCAGTTCATATCAGTGTCATTCGGGGTGAAGAATTGAGCTACCTAGTCTATTACCAGGTGCTACCAGGCCGTGTGCTGCCGTAACTGATATAATAGCGTCATTTATGATGTAGAATCCCCTGGCTTCTGGACAGAATACTGCAGGAGAAAATGGCAACCTGCTCTAGTATTCTCACCTGGAGAATCCCGTGGACAGAGGAGCCTGGCGGGCTACAGTCCATGGGGTCTCAGAGACTTCCACGCAACTGAGCGACTGAGCGTGATATAGAGTTAATGTAGCTTTAACACTGAATTACCATATAATATACTATGATACCATGGCATTTACTATAGCAGCATCACTGGTGGGTATGGAAATGAGGCAACTTGTCTGTTACTGTTACTCTGTAAAATACTGTGGTATTTAATATAATAGCATCATGATATGGAAATCATGTAGTCAGTTTATTACTGTTACTATATAGTATACTACAGTATATAACAGCATCATTTATGCCGTAGAAACAATATAGCTTATATGTTACTGTTACTGTTTAATGTGCTATAGTATGCGCTTCCCTTGTGGGTCAGCTGGTAAAGAATCTGCCTACAATGCAGGAGACCTGGGTTCAGTCCTTGGGTTGGGAAGATCCCCTGGAGAAGGGAATGGTTACCCACCGCAGTATTCTTGCCTGGAGAATTCCATGGACTCTATAGTCTATGGGGTCTCAAAGAGTCTGACACGACTGAGGGACTTTCACTTTCATACTATCGTATATGATATAACAGCATCATTTATGATACAGAAACAGTGTAGCTTATATATTACTGTTATTATTTAATATACTGTGGTCTATTACATAACAGGATCATTGATGCTATAGAAACAATGTAGTTAATATATTGCTGTTACTATTTAATATAACAGCATTATTTATGATATGGAAATTATGTACCATATCTATTACTGTTACTATTTAATATATTATGGTATTTAATATAGTAGCATCATGATGTAGAAAATAAATGTAACTAGTTTATTGCTATTACTATATAATGTACTATAGTATATAACAGCATCATTTGTGGTATAGAAACTGTTGTTTATATATTCCTATTACTATTTGATATAGAAATAATGTACCATATCTATTACTGTTACTATTTAATATATTATGGTATTTAATATAACAGCATCATGATATAGAAAATAACTAGTTTATTACTATTACTATATAACCTACTATAGGTTATGTAACAGCATCATTTATGATATAGGAACAGTGTTGCTTATATATTACTGTTACTATTTAATATACTATGGTATTTAATATAGCAGCATCACTTATAATATAGGAATAACATATCTCTGTATTGCTATAAGTGTTATTATGGAATATCCAATTGCAATTAACATAACCATATCGCTTACGATGTAGAAGTAATATACCTTATCTGTTATGAGGTGTAACTCTATAATATACAAAAATACATAATATTGTATACTATATACTTTTATGTATAGTGTATATAATGCTATATAGCATACATAATGAATTATATACATTATAATGAAACAGTACATTATTGTTATATAATATAACAATATCATTTTTAATACAGAATTAATATAGATTATCTGTGTTACTATAAAATGTATTAATTAATGTAAGTATCATTTATGATATAGAATCAATGTAGCTTCCTATTACTTATAATAGTTGTAAGTAATATAATATATAATCATATATGAAAGCGTGAAGTGTTATTTGCTCAGTTGTGTCCGACTCTTTGCCTTGTGACCCCATGGACTGGAGCCCACCAGGCTCCTCTGTCCCTGGGATTCTCCAGTCAAGAAGACTGGGGTGGGTTACCATTCCCTCCTCCAGGGGATCTTCCCGACCCAGGGATTGAACCCAGGTCTCCTGCATTGCAAGCAAGTTCTTTACCATCTGAGCCAGCTGGGAAGTCATAATTATATATAGTAATATATAACTGGGGACCCCATGGCGGCTCAGTGGTAAAGAACCCACGTACCGATGCTGGAGACGCAGGTTTGATCCCTGGGTGGGAAACGTTCCCTGGAGAAGGGGAATGGCAACCCCACTCCAGTATTCTTGCCTGAAGAATCCCATGGGCAGAGGAGCCTTGCTGGCTATGGTCCAAAGGGTTGCAAAGAGTTGGACACGACTGAGCGACTAACTTTTACTTTCACTGTCTCTCTGGATTGGTGTCTTGAGGACACTCAAGTCTCGCTTTCTAAAGCAAGACTGGATCCATAAATAAACTGTGATGCTTTGTGCCGCGCGTCCTGACGTGAAAATGTGTTAGACATACAGGCTCGTCCTGCCTAAAGCTGAGTCTGTATTTCTTGCAGAAGGACCTGCGTGCCCCAGACGTGGTCATCGGAGCCGACACCATCGTGGTGAGTGTGTTTTCTGGCTTTCCGTGTCGCTGTCGACTGAAATCCAGGCCTTGGAAGGCAGGTTCTTTCTCTAAGACCTGGGGGATAATCCATCCCAGGCTTCTCTCTCTTCCGGCTTCTGATGGTTTTCTTCCAAATTCCTGGGCATTCCTGGGCTGGTGGCCGGCTCCCGCCCGTCTCTGCCTCCGTCTCCATGTGGCTTCTCCTCTGTGTCTGTCTCTCCTCTGACAAGAGCACCGTCCGTCATGGATTAGGACCCACCTGGCCCCAGTACAACCTCCTCTCAAATTTTGTCACATCTGCAAAGATTCTATTATCGAACAGTGTCCTGTTCACAGGGCTGGGGGGTCAGGACCTGGGGGAAAGGAATCTCCCCAAGATAGGGGTTTTCGCTGCCAAGAGTCAATTTTGGATGGCTCATCACAGTGATCCATAGAGCAGCTCTGTCTCGCTGGCCATGGCCGTCTGCCTGAGACCCCGGCTGGCCCGACGGTGAGCGTCGCCCAGGGATGCTGGGCCTCACTGCTGGGGTGTTCATAGCAGCAGTGTCCCTGGATGGCTGTGTCGATGGATGATGGATGGCTAGATAGATGGATGGATGGTTGGGTAGATGGTTGGATGGATGCTGGATGGGTGGATGGTTGGTGGATGGAAGGATGAATGGATGGATGGTGGATGGATGAGTGGGTGGATGGATGGATGGATGGATGGTTGGATAAATAAATAGATGATAGATATGATGGACCGGCGGATAGATGTGATGGACGGATGGAAGGGTGGATGGGTATGATGGATGGGTGGATAGATGGATAGATGGATGGATGAATGGATAGATGGATATGATGGACAGATGGATAGATAGATATGATGGATAGATGTATATGATGGATGGATAGATGGATGTGATAGATGATAGATATGATGGATGGATGGTTAGGTAGATAGATATGACGGATGGACAGATAAATAGATAGATTATAGATAGATATGATGGCTGAATGGATCGATAGATATGATGCATGGATAGATAGATGATAGATATAATGGATGGANGATAGATGATAGATGGATGGGTGGATGGAAAGATGAATGGCTCATGGATTGATGGATGGTTAGGTAGATGGATGGATAAATGGATGGATGGTTGGGTAGATAGTTGGATGGATTGATGGATGGATGGATGATAGATGGATGGATAGTTGTGTAGATGGTTGGATGGATAAATGAATGGTTGGATGGATGATGAATAGATGATGGATTGATGATGGATGAATGGGTGGATGGGAGGATGAATGGATGGATATTTGATGGATGGGTGCATGGATGATGGGTAGATGGTTGGATGGATAGATGGATTGATGGATGATGTATGGATGGATAGTTGTTAAATGGTTGGATGGATAAATGGATGAGTGGATGGATGATGGATAGATGATGGATGGATGGTTGATGGATGGGTGGATGGATGATGGATGAATGGATGGATGGTTGTGTAGATGATTGGATGGATGGATGGGTGGGTGGATAATGGACGGATGGATAGATGGATAGAAGATGCATGGATGGATGGTTGGGTAGATGGTTGGATGGATTGATGGATAGTTGGGTAGATGGTTGGATGGATTGATGGATGGATGGATAGTTGGATAGATGGATGGATGGATAAATGGATGGGTGGATGGATGGTGGATGGATAAATGGATGGGTGGATGGATGGTGGATGGATGGATGGATGATACATGAATGGATGGATGGGTAGATGGTTGGATGGATAGAACGATAAGTGGATGGATGGATAAGCAGCATGGGGTCCACCCACACCGTGGAATATGATGCAGCCATGAAAAGGAGTGAAGCCCCAACACAGGCTACAACATGGATGGATCTTGAACACCCAGTGCTCGATGAGAGAAGCAGACACAGGACATGTATTATTCTGTTTGTGTGAAATGTCCGGAATAGGTGAATCCACTGAGGAGAAAAGCAGATCAGCAGTTGTCAGGGGCTAGGCAACGAGGTGGGGAGAGACAGCTTGTGGGGATGGGGTGTCCAGACGATGAAAGACTTCAGGAACTCAGTAGTGATCCTCACCCAACAGTGGAAATGTGCCACATGGTTTCATTTAACATGGTGAGTGTCACGTTATACGAATCTCACCTCAGTTAAAAAAAAAAAAAACAAAAAACCTGAGTCTAAAACGGTGGACAGTGTAGCTGGTGCAGAGCCGCTCGGGGAACAGAAGCAATGTTCTCCGTGGCATTTCTCTCGCAGGCGGTCGGGGGACTGATCCTGGAGAAGCCGGTGGACAAGCAGGATGCCTACCGCATGCTGTCGAGGTGGGTGGGTCCCGGCCGTCCTCCGGGGACGCGTGGGACAGAGGCTGGGCCGTTCGCCATGTGTCCAGTCAGCGTCAACATCCGCTCATCACCTATCTGTCCGCCCACCCACATCACGTCCCCGTGTCCTCCACAGGCACCACATCCGCTGTCTCCCAGAGATAGCCCCTTCTGGTTCAGGTCAGGGGACCAGGCAGTGCCCTTGAACTGACCTTGACTCTTAACAACTCCCCACACCGGCCCCCACATTCAGGGTCTCCTCCTGGCTCGGGCACGCTGACTGTCCACGCCCAGGACCTCACAGGGACCCAGGAAAGGGGTGGCCCAGAGCGGCCGGGATCCGGGTCCTCTGTGCACTGCTGGCCGCTCCCGTCAGGGTCCACGTGGTCCTGTGTTTTGTCCCATGAGATGGCCCAGCCACCCCCCCAGCCACTGTCTGAGCACAGTGACCACAGTCCTGCGGGGAGCTTCACGGTCCCCGTGGGGTGGTTTCCTTGGCCACCGCGCGCCCGGGGTGATGGGGGCAGGGCCGGTGAGTGGACAGGGGCCTCAGATGGCCCAGCCACCCCCCCAGCCGCTGTCTGAGCACAGTGACCACAGTCTCGCGGGGAGCTTCACGGTCCCTGTGGGGCGGTTTCCTTGGCTACTGCATAGCCGGGGTGATGGGGGCAGGGCCGGTGGGTGGACAGGGACCTCAGATGGTGCAGCCACCCCCCCGGCTGCTGTCTGAGCACAGTGACCAGAGTCTCGCGGGGAGCTTCACGGTCCCTGTGGGGCGGTTTCCTCGGCGACCCCGCCCGGGGTGATGGGGGCAGGGCCGGTGGGTGGACAGGGACCTCAGATGGCCCAGCCAGCCCCCCAGACACTGTCTGAGCACAGTGACCAGAGTCTCACGGGGAGCTTCACGGTCCCCGTGGGACGGTTTCCTCGGCGACCCCGCCCGGGGTGATGGGGGCAGGGCCAGTGGGTGGACAGGGACCTCAGATGGCCCAGCCACCCCCCCAGCTGCTGTCAGAGCCAGTGATCACAGTCTCGCGGGGAGCTTCACGGTCCCCGTGGGGCGGTTTCCTCGGCGGCCCCGCCTGGGGTGATGGGGGCAGGGCCGGTGGGTGGACAGGGGCCTCGTGCTGTGGGCCAGGGGTCGCCCTGCATTGCAGAGACACTGCGGAGTCACGCGTCCGGCCCGGCCGTGTGTTGCAGGCTCAGCGGGACGGAGCACAGCGTCTTCACGGGCGTGGCCGTCGTCCACTGCTGCACCAAAGGTACCTGGGCCGCCCGCGTCCGCCACCTCCCCTGGGCCCCAGGGCCTCCGTGGGAGCCGCCGGGGCTCCTGGGGGGAGGGCCCGGGCTCCCTGGGGCCTCCCTGTCATTGCTACACACGGGCCCGCCCTCCCACCTGGCCTGGGAACATTGGGGTCCCACGTGGAAATATGGGGGGGTTCATCTTGAGCCTCCAGTGGACCCCATGTGGGGTGTAGGGGACAGCGCACCTCATCCAACATGACCCACCCAGAGCCTGCCTTTGAGCTCTCTGGTCCGAATGGTGGAGCAGCTTGGCTCCTGTTGGCGGATGTTAAAGACATTCTGTGATGAAAAGAAATTTTTTTTTTTTAAAGCACAAATAGCCTGAGGAGTAACTTTAAAGCTGCTTAAAAGAGATTTTATCCCCAGGAATGAGCCTGCCATGGGGTTTAGGGCCACCCTCATCCAGGAGAAACCTTATCTCAGACCCTTCACTTGATCCCGTGTGCAGAGACCCTGTTTCCATATAAAGTCCCGCTCTGAGGTCCTAGGTGGGCCTGAAGTTTAAGGAGCACCACGGAGCCTGCGGGGGGCTCGCAGGTGGCTCAGTGGTAAAGGACTCGCCTGCCCGTGCAGAGGCACAGAGACGTGGGCTCGATCCCTGGGTCGGGGAGATCCCCCGGAGAAGGGAATGGCAGCCCACTCCAGCGTTCTTGTCTGGAGAATCCCCGGGACAGAGGACCTGGCGGGCTGCGATTGATGGGGTCGCAGAGAGTCGGACATGACTGGGACACTGACCTCACAGGCACGCACACACTCGTTGACCCCGGGACGCCTGGCGTGGAGGTTTTTCCCAAGTGGCCCCTGTGTGTGCCCAGCGTGCCGTGTGCATGGGGCATTTCCAAGCCCACAGCCGAAAGCCTCGTGTAGATCTCAGAATTGTCCTCTCATAACGATGACTCCAGTCCGTAAATTCCCACAGAAACCAGGGGCCCCGTCTCGTCCAGCCCTGTGGACTGCAGGCCTTTCTGCCACGTGCCCATCTTGTCGGCTTCTTTTCTGGTTTATTGGCTTCCCTGGTAGCTCAGACAGTGAAGGATCCGCCTGCAATGCAGGAGACCCAGGCTCAGTCACTGGGTCGGGAGGATCCCCTGGAGGAGGACATGGCAACCCACTGCAGTGTTCTTGCCTGGAGAATCCCGTGGACAAAGGAGCCTGGCAGGCTACAGTCCACACGGTTGCAAAGAGTCGGACGTGACTGAAGTGACCAACACTCTCGCTTCACTTTCTGTTTTATTCTTTCTCTCTGTTTCTCCTGTGTACAGTGGAGAATCTTTTATTCCCTATTAATGAGCATGTGTGTGTGTGTGAGTCACACGCAAAGCTCAGACTTTCTTGCTCCTCACTTGTTCAGTCGTGTCCGACTCCGTGAGACCACCATGGACTGGAGCACGCCAGGCTTCCGTGTCCATCACCATCTGCCGGAGTTTGCTGAAACTCAAGTCCATCGAGATGGTGACACCATCCAACCATCTCATCCTCTGTCATCCCCTGTCCTCCTGACCTCAATCTTTCCCAGCATGCGGGTCTTTTCCAATGAGTCAGTTCTTCGCATCAGGTGGCCTGAGGATTGCAGCTTGAGCTTCAGCATCACGCTTGCCTCCTCATGGGCTCAAAGGGTTAGACCTGTGGGCTCCCAAGGGCACCGGCTGCGCGCCCTCACCGCAGCGCGCGCTTCCTTGCAGACGGCCAGCTGGACACCCGGGTGTCCGAGTTCTACGAGGAGACCACGGTGAAGTTCTCGGAGCTGTCGGAGGAGCTGCTGTGGGAATACATCGACAGCGGGGAGCCCATGTGAGTCTCTGTCGCAGCCACGGTGCTGAACCCCGCCCCTGTCCACAGCCGCGGTGCTCAACCCAGCCCCTGTCCACAGCCGCGGTGCTCAACCCAGCCCCGGTCTGGAGCCGTGGTGCTGAATGCCCACCGTTCTCCTGACCTCAATCTTTCCCAGCATCAGGGTCTTTTCCAATGAGTCAGTTCTTCGCATCAGGTGGCCAGAGTACTGGAGCTTCAGCTTCAGCATCAGGCTTCCTCCTCACGGGCTCAAAGGGTTAGACCTGTGGGCCCCCACGGGCACCGGCTGCGCCCCCTCACCGCAGCGCGCGCTTCCTTGCAGACGGCCAGCTGGACACCCGGGTGTCCGAGTTCTACGAGGAGACCACAGTGAAGTTCTCGGAGCTGTCGGAGGAGCTGCTGTGGGAATACATCGACAGCGGGGAGCCCATGTGAGTCTCTGTCCACAGCCGCGGTGCTCAACCCAGCCCCGGTCTGGAGCCGTGGTGCTGAATGCCCACCGCGGGCAGGAGACGGGCCGGGGCTGAGCCCGCGCTGGAGGCCTGTGCCCACCACGTGCCCAGGGGCCCAGGGCCGGGCAGCGTGCTTAGGACGGATGTGCTTACCCTGTGCCCCTGTCCCTACATCACTGCCGTCTCCTCCAGCAAAGGGCGCTGCTGTGGGTCGGGCAGGTCAGTGCAGATGCTGCCGTGGGGCTGGTCTCCCCGCCCAGCGTCAGTGAAAGCCGCTCAGTCGTGTCCGACTCTCTGCAGCCCCACGGACTGTAGCCCACCAGGCTCCTCTGTCCATGTGATTCTCCAGGCAAGAATCCTGGAGTGGGTTGCCAGACCCTTCTCCAGGGGATCTTCCCGACCCAGGGATCAAACCCGTGTCTCCTGCATTGCAGGCGGGTTCTTTACCACTAGTGCCACCTGGGAAACCCTTTGACACTTCAAGGGAGCCCCCCGCACCCCAAATCCCAGCTTCTCTGTTCTTTGCACCCTGGTCTGTGGGAAGAGAGGGGTGGCTAGAGTGCAGAAGGGCTGGGGGCTCAGTCCAGATGGACCGAGGCGCTGGACGGACCCCTTTTCCCATGTAAGGAGGTCTCAGCAGAGGTTTCCGGGAAGACCTGGGCTGTGGACCCCCGCGAGGAGTCCTCCTATTGAGGCTCCTGGCAGAGAGATGAGGGAAGACCGCACTTGGGGGCCCCGGTCTCTTGTGAGCAAAGCCCACCCCCTCAGGAGACACAGGCCTGGCGTGGGGGCAGGTGCCCCCTCGTGCACCCCCAGAAGCCGCCTTCATCCCGTCTTGGGGGCAGCACCGAGGGAATGCTCCTGGGGGCTGGTCCTGGAGCTGGCTGCCCGCAGCGCACGGCTGCTCCGGACCGGAGGTCAGCGGGCTCCCGACTGGCCGGGTGTGCACACCCGTCAAAGCTCATCATCACCGTGTCCGTCTCTTCTCCCCTTCCTTCCTGCCCCGCTGCGGTCCTTCACGCCGCGCAGGGACAAGGCCGGCGGCTATGGGATCCAGGCGCTGGGTGGGATGCTGGTGGAGTACGTGCGCGGCGACTTCCTCAACGTGGTGGGCTTCCCGCTGAACCGCTTCTGCAAGGAGCTGGCGCGCCTCTACCACGCGCCCCGGGCCCCCGGTGCCCCACCGCGGATCCACTACGACTCCATCCCTGCCGTCGACACCTTCGAGGACCTCAACGACGCCGAGGGAGGCGTCTCCGACCAGGCTCCCGCCAACGGGGGCCTGGAGGCGGGCGGGGCGCAGCCGCAGGCTCCCCATACCCGGGACGCTCCGGACCTGAATGGGGTGAGGGACAGCCAGCCCCCGCTCCCCGCGGGCCTCCTGGGGCTGATGGACGGCTTCAAAGCATCCAAGGTACCCCTGTGCCTTCGCAACCACGTGACCCCCAGCACAGGGGGGCGCTTCAAACCACAGGCATCCATCTCACAGCCCCCAACCCAATCCTGGGGACCAGACGCCTGAGGTCAGGGTGCCCCAGGGCTGGGCTCCGTGCAGAGGCTCCAGGGGACGGTCCTTCCCGCCTCTTCCAGCTTCTGGGGGCTCCAGGCGTCCGTCCCTGGGCTGGTGGCCGCCTCCCTCCCGTCTCCGCCTCCGTCTCCACGTGGCTTCTCCTCTGTGTCCCTGTCTCTCCTCTTCTGTGTCTTATGAGGACCCTGTCCCTGGGTTTAGGGCCACCCCCCGTCCAGGAGGGCCTCATTTCAGACCCTTCACTCCATCACGTCTGCGAAAGCATCTCATTTCCACGGAAGGCCTTGTTCGCTTGTTCTGGGGGTCAGGATGTGAACACTATCTTTTTCGAACGTGACTATGGTCTGTGCCTGGCAGGGCTGGGGCGGGGTCCGAGTGGGTGTCTGCAGGGACACGGCTCACAGCACGCTGTGCCCCACGTGTCCGGAGAAGTTTTCTCTGTTATGAGAGCCCCAGGGAGGTTAGCCCGTCCCGTGAGGAGTGTTGTGCGTGGTGTGGAGTCTGTCCCGCAGGGAGCGCCCAAGTCCACACACAGCCTCGTCTCAAGGTCCCAGGGCCTGTGGCCTCGACGTAGGCACCGTGGGGAGCTACCGCGCACCCCTTGACCGTAGCGCATTGGGTTTCTCTGCTGAGAGAGCTTTTCTGCTTAATCCTCACCGACTCGTTCTTCCCTGGAGCAAAACTTATGCAAGCTGGAGCCCAAACCCAACTCTCCCCTGCAGAGGGTCCCTGACGGGCGTGGCATTTCTGACAGTTCCACCGGCCCCCCCGCTCCCCGCTGTCCGTGGGGGGGTCACAAGCGATCGGTCAGTCCTGTCGCAGCCTGACTGTGGCCCTCCTTCACGGTCAGGTCCTGCTCACGGCTTGCAAGCTCAACGTGTTCGATGTTCTGAAAGATCGAGGCCCCCTGACAGCTGCGGACGTTGCCCGCGAAATCGGCGCCTCGGTGGACGGCACCGAGTGCCTGCTGGACGTCTGCGCGGACCTGGGGCTGCTGCAGAAGGCGGACGGAGGTGAGCGGCCGCCCAGGTGTCGGGCCGCTGCAGAAGGCGGGCGGGGGTGAGGGCCCCCCGGCTGTCGGCGCGGCGGCCCTAGGCCGCTGCAGAAGGCAGGCGGGGGTGAGGGCCTCCCGGCTGTCGGCACGGCGGCCCTGGGCCGCTGGAGGACGCGGGCGGGGGTGAGGGGCCTCCCGGCTGTCGGCGCGGCGGCCGGACGGAGGTGAGGGGCCGCCCTGGTGTCGGCATGTCAGCTCCGCAGGTGGGACCCGGCCGCCAAGCGACAGTGGCTCCTGAGCAGAGATGGGCAGAGCTGCCAGCCCTGTGTCCCGGACACGGGGCAGTTCCCAGAGGGCGGGGAGCAGGGGCATGGGCGAAGAGGAAACGGGTGTGTGTGTGTGTGCGCGCGTGTGTGAGGTTTAGGAGGAAACAGGTGTGTGTGTCTGTGTGATGTTTAGGAGGAAATAGGTGTGTGTGTGCGTGTGTGTGTGATGTTTAGGAGGAACTAGGGGTGTGTGTCGGAGAAGGCAGTGGCACCCCACTCCAGTACTCTTGCCTGGAAAATCCCATGGACGGGGGAGCCTGGTGGGCTGCCATCTGTGGGGTCGCACAGAGTCGGACACGACTGACGCGACTTAGCAGCATGGTGTGTGTGAGTGTGTGTGTGTGTGTGTGATGGGTGTGTGTGTGTGTGATGGGTGTGTGTGTGTGTGATGGGTGTGTGTGTGTGAGTGTGTGTGATGTTTAGGAGAGAGACTTCTTTGGGGACTCAGAGGGGTTGTATCTGCCAAGGTCCTCCAAGGAAACAACTCTCAGGGTGTGGACGTGTGCACAGCATAGATAGCTGCACATTCTTACTCATCTGTTCAGGTAGGCAGACAGGTGAGGTGAATGCCTAGACGCTGAGAGGTAGTAGAATGATACTTGAATGGATGGATGGACGGATGGATGGATGGTGGATAAATAGACACTTCACGGATAACAAACAGGTCACAGACAGATGGTGCTTGCTCAGGAGCTTCAGTCATGGCCGCTTTTGTGTGGCCCCAGGGACTGTAGCCCGCCAGGCTCCTCTGTCCGTGGGATTCTCCACGCAAGAATGCTGGAGAGGGTTGCCATGCCCTTCTGCAGGAGATCTTCCCCACCCAGGGATCAAACTTGCGTCTTCTGTGTCTCCTGCATTGGCCACAAGATTCTTTACCTCTGAGACCCCTGGGAAGCCCAGTAGATAGATGGGTGGATGGATAAATGATAAATAGCTTGATTGAGTCATAGGTGAATGTATAAGCATGTAAATAGATAAGTAGATGGATGAACAGATAGTTCATAGGAAGGTAGGTAGACAGATAGCTGATGAATAAAACAGGACAGACAGACGGACAAACAGATAATAGGATAAGTGAAGGGACAGATGACAGACAGACAGACAGATGATAAATACAGGCTCAATGGATGGATAGGTGGATAAACAGATAGTAGATAAATTTATAGATCAATAGATATAAACTGATAACAGAGATGACAGCAAGATGGGTAGATAAAGTGAAAAGTGAAAGTGAAGTCGCTCAGTCGTGTCTGACTCTTTGCGACCCCATGGACTGTAGCTTACCAGGCTCCTCCATCCATGGAATTTTCCAGGCAAGAGTACTGGAGTGGGTTGCCATTTCCTTCTCCAGGGTAGACAGATAAATGGATAAAAAGGTGACGGAGGGACTGATGAATAGGTAACATATGTTGATGGATAAACGATAGATGAGCAGAGATGACAAGTGATAGGTAAATAGACTTATTCACACACAGATGATAGCTGCTAAATAAACAGGTAGATGAGACATATATAGATTGACAGATAGGTGGTTAACAGATGAGACAGAGAGAGTTGGAGGTGACTGACAGATAGTAAACAGACAGGTTGATACATAGATGGGCTTCCCAGGTGGCTTGGTGGTGAAGAACCTGCCCGCCAGTGCAAGAGAAGTGGGTTTGGTCCCTGGGTCGCGAAGATCCCCTGGAGGAGGGCATGGCAACCCGCTGCGGTCTTCTTGCCTGGACAGTCGCATGGACAGAGGAGCCTGGCGGGGCTGCAGTCCCTGGGGTGGCAGAGTCGGGCGCGTGCGAGGGTGTCACGCTGTCGGCCGGAGGATGCTTGCGCTAACACCGCGGGACCCCGAGCGGCAGCTCCCCCCGCCCCTCCGATGTTCAGGGGAGCCCTTACGGGGGTCCGGGACCCCGAGCGGCGGCTCCCTCCGCCCCTCTGATGTTCAGGGGAGCCCTTACGGGGGTCCGGGACCTCGAGCGGCAGCCCCCCGCCCCTCCGTTCAGGAGAGCCCTTACGGGGGTCCGGGACCCCGAGCGGCGGCCCCCCCCGCCCCTCTGATGTTCAGGGGAGCCCTTACGGGGGTCCAGGATNGCCTGGGACATCCCATGGACAGAGGAGCCTGGAGGGCTATAGTCCATGGATCACAAAAGAGTGAGATGCACTTAGTGACTAAACAACAGCAAAGAAAACTACATATAGCCATAAAAAGACATTCACAACACAAAAACACAAAAAGAGTGTATGCAATGTGAACTCAGTTTTATAAAATAAATTATATATATTTACATGTATATGCTATGTATCAAAGTGTTAATTAACAGTGCTTACCTCAGAATGGAGACTATATTCTTTTTTTTTAATGTGCGGCAGAAACCACTATCTTCCAATATCCATTCTTCCTTTATTCTATAGTAATAGGACCTCCAATTTTAGTTGAGCATCTAGAATAACTAGCATATATTTAGCTACTGTATGAATAGCCACCTAGAATAGATAGCATATTTTTAAGCCTCTCTTACAGCTAGATGTGGTCATAGTAACTGTTCTGACCAGTGAGATATATTAAGTGGATTTGTTATTTATCACCTTCTAGAAGGTGTCCTTGAAAGGAACAGACATGCCTTCTTCTCTTTCCTCCTCCTTGCTGACTGGAATGTGAGCATGATGGCTGGTGCTGGAACAGCCATCTTGGACTCTGAAGTGGAAGCCATAATGCTGAAGATGTTGGAGCAATTTAGAGAAAAGAAACTGGGTCCTTGATGACTGTGGGCCATTGCGCCAGACCTGGATGCCCTATATCTACCTGAGAATTATTTTTCCTCTTCATCTTATATAATTCACTACTATTTTGAATTTTCTATCACTTGACAGCTGAACCAACTCCTAGATATTTTTGAAAGCTGAGAAATACATCTGGGTATATTGAAAACTCTGGTCCAAAATCTTATACATGGAGTGATCTTCCTAGCTGTGAAATCTTTCACTGAAACCACTTGTCCGAAGTTTCACTCAGATCTTCTCTCACACTCCATTCAAACATATCGCATCTTGTCAACACTTAATACTGTGTTTAGTTTTCTTTTTTCTTTTTTTGGTGGAAGGGACACATGGTCTCATCCCTAGTCCATAGACTGTCTTAATTTTAATTCAAAAGTTGTCACAACTCTCCTGAGAATAAGGTATTGATGTAGCTCCATTGCAACAACTTGGGAATATTTGTAGTAGCCTCTTGGGCTCCCCTCTTGGCTCAGTGGTAAAGAATCCCCTGCCAATGCAGGAGACATGGGTTCAATCTCTGGGTCAGGAAAATCCCCTGGAGGAGGAAATGGCAACCCACTCCAGTATTCTTGTCTGGAGAATCCCATGGAATATAGTCCATGGGGTCGCAAAGAGTCGGACATGACTCAACGACTCGCAGCTTCTTTTCACTTAGAAACAAAAGACACTTATTTCCTGCGGTTGTAGAAGCGGGACTTCTGAAATCCCGGCGAGGGTGGGTGTAGTGTCCGATGAGGACGCAGTTCCTGGCTCCTCGATGGATGTCTTCCTGTCCTCCCCTTCCTCTTCCACTCTGTCCCCTGGACCCCTGCCCATCTGGTCTGCCCCCACCATCCCACCGAGCAAGCCCCCCACGCTTCGTCGCTCAGTCCTGTCTGACTCTCTGCGACCCCATGGACTGTACCCCCCCAGGCTCCCCTGTCCATGGGATTCTCCAGGCAGGAGTACTGGAGTGGGTTGCCGTCTCCTCCTCCAGGGAATCTTCCTGACCCAGAGACGGAGCCCGGGTCGCCTGCATGGCACGTGGCCTCTTTACCGTCTGGTCCACCGGGGAAGTCCACCAACCCTCTGCCCTCAGAGAGGCCATGTAGAACGTCATCGTGGATGCAGGACCGCCTGGGCCCCCGGTGGGTCTCTCCTGAGATCCTGTTCTGTTTCAGGCGCCCCACAAGCAGAGCACGGAGGCGACCCTGCAGTTCATGAGGGCCTCGCACGGCCTCAGCAAGCTGACCGCCCACCATGTGGCCACGGCCTTTGACCTGTCCCCGTTCACCTCCGCCTGCCACCTGGAAGGTACATCCCTTCACCCGACAGGAGTCAGGGCAAACGGCGGCAAGCCTTCCTACCTTGTCGGAAGCTGCAGGCGCCTTATCTACAGATAGGCTTCCCGGGTGGACGAATCCACCAGCAGTTCAGGAGACCCGGGTTCAATCCCTGGGTCGGGAAGATCCCCTGGAGAAGGGATGGCAACCCACCCCAGTATTCTTGCCTGGAGAATCCCCATGGACAGAGGAGCCTGGTGGGCTGCAGTTCATGGGGTTGCGGAGTTGGACAGGGCTGAGCAACTAACACACAATACCTACTAACAAGACTTGGAAAATGGGTTTATCTCTACAAACCACACAAGGATCTAAATGTGTCCAGGGTGGATGTGGGGCTTGGGCTGATATTCCCAAGTGCTCGGAGGTCCCAGGGATGGCTCAGACCCTCGTAGAGGTTATGGAACCCTTCCTGGGGGCTGCCAAGCAGAGCAGGGGACCGTGGAACCTGTCTGCTGCCATCTCATGAGGTCTAATTATGCCACACACACTCCGTCCACCCCTCCCAGCCAGTCCTTCCCCCAGGACATTAGACGGAGGAGGAGCAGATGCCTTCCCAAGGGATGTAGTGGGATTGGGGTCCTAGGAGGGCTCCTGAGCTGGCAGCTTGCGTTTTCCCATCCTCTGCACAGCTTTCCTCCTGGTGGCCCAGAGTGGCTGCTGTGGCACCAGCCATCACACCTGCATTCCCACAACAGAACGGAGAAGGAAAGAGTATAACTCTCTAGAACTCTGCCCTAAGGATTCCCTGTGGATCTCTTTCCACCCTGCTCACCTGGCTCGGGCCAGCGCTTGGTCCACCATCAGTCCACAAGGCCCTGAGTTTGAGGCAGCAGAGATCTCCCCACTGGCTGACCTCCTCTGAGGGCACATGCTGAGGTCATGTCCGAGAGCGCTGGTTTGGTCCTGCCAGAGCTGAGCCTCTGGAGACAGGCCAGGTTGGTGCAGAGTCCACGTTTCTTCCCACAGGCTGCACGGGCGCCCTGGCCCACAAGCTTGTCCAGGAGTACCCGCTTCCACCCCTCCCAGCCAGTCCTTCCCCCAGGACATTAGACGGAGGAGGAGCAGATGCCTTCCCAAGGGATGTAGTGGGATTGGGGTCCTAGGAGGGCTCCTGAGCTGGCAGCTTGCGTTTTCCCATCCTCTGCACAGCTTTCCTCCTGGTGGCCCAGAGTGGCTGCTGTGGCACCAGCCATCACACCTGCATTCCCACAACAGAACGGAGAAGGAAAGAGTATAACTCTCTAGAACTCTGCCCTAAGGATTCCCTGTGGATCTCTTTCCACCCTGCTCACCTGGCTCGGGCCAGCGCTTGGTCCACCATCAGTCCACAAGGCCCTGAGTTTGAGGCAGCAGAGATCTCCCCACTGGCTGACCTCCTCTGAGGGCACATGCTGAGGTCATGTCCGAGAGCGCTGGTTTGGTCCTGCCAGAGCTGAGCCTCTGGAGACAGGCCAGGTTGGTGCAGAGTCCACGTTTCTTCCCACAGGCTGCACGGGCGCCCTGGCCCACAAGCTTGTCCAGGAGTACCCGCGTCTGCAGGTGACCGTGTTTGACCTCCCAGAGGTCATCGAGCTTGCGGGGGGCTTTCAGGCCGGCGCAGGGCCGTCGGAGCGGGTCCACTTTGTGCCAGGTCAGTGCGGCGTCCTTGTCTGCCAGCAGTCACTCTTTGGGCGACCTTGTTTATCTCCTGTAAGGGGTGGGTAGGGCTTTCCTGGAGGCCCAGCAGTAAAGAGCCCGCCTGCCAGAGCAAGAGACGCGGGTTCGGCGCTTGGGTCGGGAAGATGCCCTGGAGGAGGAAATGGCACCCACTCCAGTATTCTTTCCTGGGAAATCCAACAGAGAGAGGACTCTGGCGGGCTGCAGTCCATGGGGTCTCAGAGAGATGGACACGACTGAGTACGCACACACATACGGAGTGTGTGTGTGTCTCTATGTGTACATTTCTGTCTGTCTCTGACTGTGTGCTGTGTGTTTCTGTGCCTGTGAGTGTGTCCACGTGTGCCTGTATGTGTGTGTGTGCATGCATATGTGGTCTCTGTGTGTGTCTAAATGTGTATGTACCTGAGTTTATGTGTCTATATATGTATTTTCCTGCGTGTGTGTGTGTGTGTATCTGTGTGTTTCTGTGTGTGGGTAAAGTGAAAAAGTGTTAGCTGTTCACTGCACGTCAACCCCATGGCCTGCAGCCCGCCAGGCCCCTCTGTCCATGGGTTCTCCAGGCAAGGGTACTGGAGTGGGTTGCCATGTCCTCCTCCAGGGGATCTTCCCCACCCAGGGATGGAACCCGGGTCTCCTACCCTGGGGGTGGATCCCTTACTGTCTCAGCCGCCAGGGTGTTGCGTGTGCGGGTATGTGTACACATGCGTGCTTCTGTGTGTGCTTCCGTGTCAGTGTGTGTGTCTGTGCATCTCTGTGTGTGTGGCTGTGTGTCACTGTGTGCAGCTATGTCTGTGTGCGTCTGTGTGTAGCTGTGTCTGTGTGCGTCTGTGTGTCGCTGTGTGCTTCCGTGTCAGTCTGTGTGTCTGTGCATCTCTGTGTGTGTGTGGCTGTGTGTCGCTGTGTGTGTCTGTGTCGCTGTGTGCAGCTGTGTCTGTGTCTGTGTGCATCTGTGTGTCGCTGTGTGCGTCTGTGTCACTGTGTGTCGCTGTCTCTGTGTGCGTCTGTGTGCGTCTGTGTGCAGCTGTGTCTGTGTGCGTCTGGGTCACATCTGCGCGTAGGACGCTGGCTGCAGCAGCAGCCCCTGGGCCTCCACGCCTCCACCCCGTCTGTGTGTCTGTGTGCGTCTGTGTGTCGCTGTGTCTGTGTGCGTCTGTGTGTCTGTGTACAGCTGTGTCTGTGTGTCGCTGTGTGCGTCTGTGTGTGGCTGTGTGCAGCTGTGTCTGTGAGTGTCTGGGTCACATCTGCGCGTAGGACGCTGGCTGCAAAAGCAGCCCCTGGCCTCCACGCCTCCAGCCCGTCTGTGTGTGGCCCAGGTGACCCTTCCAGCGGCCGCCTCCCGCCCGCGGACCTGTACGTTCTCTGCAGCCTCGCGCACGACGGGCCGGACCACAGGCTCCACGGGCTCCTGAGGCGGGTGTCCCGCAGCTGCAGAGCAGGTGAGACCCTGGACTTGCCTTTTCTTCGTGCGCTTGCCTTTCTTCACACTTAAAGACAATTTCCCATCGAAAAAAAAAAGAAAGAGACCCGCATGCATGTCACACAGTCAGCCTGCCCACCCATCCAGCCCACGGTCCGCTGCCCAGTTTACCGCCGGCCCAGGCCCTAGCTGATTCCCAGTTGCCCCTCATTCATTTCTGAGCTTTCCAGCCGCAGTATGCGCATGGCGTCCCATGGGCTCCCCCTGGTGGCTCAGACGGTAAGGAATCTGCCTGCAATGCGGGAGATCCAGGTTCCGTCTCTGGGTCGGGAAGATCCCCTGGAGAAGGGACAGGCTACCCACTCCAGTATTCCTGCCTGGAGAACCCCGTGGACAGACCAGCCCGGCGGGCAGCAGTCCACGGGGTCGCAGAGTCGGACCCGCCTGAGGGACAGAGCAGAGCGCACCTCCGGTCATCGCAGTCTGCAGCCCTGTCCCTGCAGACAGAATTCCTCCCACCTTCCCACCGGGAAGTCCTCCCGTGCGGAGCCCCGGGGGCACCCGCAGGCTGGGTCCTGGGACGCCTGCGCATCCCTTCCCGGTTATCTCTGTGTCTGTCTCCCCAGGCGCTGGCCTCCTGCTGGCCAAACTGGCGCCCGCGGAGGAGGAGGAGGAGGAGGCCGGCGGGGCGGCGCGGAGGTCCCGCGGGCTGCGGATCCTCGGGGCGGGGCGGCCCCCCCGGGGCCCCGGGCAGTACCGGCGCCTCCTACAGGGGCTCGGCTTCCAGGACGTGCAGGCGACGCGCGCGGGAGACCTGCTGCACGTGGTCCTGGGGACCCGGGCCCCGCCCTGAGGGTCGCCCCGCCCCGACGGTCGCCGCGCGAGCCTGGGGGTGATTCCCGGAGAAGAGGCGTCCGCTGGGACAACGATTATTAGAGGCGGAAAGCAGGCAGTCTCCGCGCGCGTCTGTAGGGGGCGCCCTGGACCCAGGAGATGCGCACCCCCAACCCGGGAGGGGAAGGGTACGGGGCCTGGGACTGCTTGTTTGGGGGGCGGGGGTCGCGGGGACTCGGAGAGGCCCCCGGGGCTGGAGGCGACCGACCGAGGGGACCCCCGGGAAAGGCACGGGGTACGGTCCTTCTCCCGAGGGCACCTGGTCGCAGCCGGGCTGGGCCCCCAGTGAGAACGAGTGACGTGCAGAGCCGGCCCTCTGCTCCCCCGGGGGCGCGTGGGGGGCGCGGTCCCTCCAGACACCAGGATCGCTAGAAGAAACTTGATCTTCTAACCGGAGGGGTCAGAGCACCCGCCCGCAGGGCGGGGGTACCCGAGCCCCCCACCCCCACCCCGGCCCCCCAAGAGTCCCTGTAGCAGTGCGCCTGACGCGGGCCGGACTCGGGGGTCCCACACCCACGACCAGGCCCGTGAGCCGGGGACACGCCCGAGCGCGGGCCCCAGCTGCAGGCTGACGGCAGCGAACGCCTGCGGGAGCCAGGACGGACGGCCCGTGGGGCCCTTATTCGCCTCACTCTCCTTGTCCTGCTGGGACTCTTTGCAGTTAAAAAAAAAAAAAAAAAATTANCCCCCACGCCCCACCCGCCATCCCACCTCCCTTAACCATCCCCATCCCACCCCTCGGTCTACCTGGGTGCACAATCCTACGGGTGCACAGTCTTTCCCCAGTACCTGGGGTGTTTGTGGTCCTGCCGCCCTCCCGGCTCAGCCGTGACTGCAGCACACGGCCTGGGTCACCGATGCCCCCCACCTGTCCCCAGGACACACACAGGGAGCAGACCTCCATCGAAGGCCCACGTGAGATGCTTTTAAAGGAGAAACACGTTCTGCGCCCTAGTGAGCAAGGAGGACAGATGTCACATTCATTCAGTCCTTCCCGCAGACAGCAAGCTACGGGTGCACAGTCTTTCCCCAGTACCTGGGGTGTTTGTGGTCCTGCCGCCCTCCCGGCTCAGCCGTGACTGCAGCACACGGCCTGGGTCACCGATGCCCCCCACCTGTCCCCAGGACACACACAGGGAGCAGACCTCCATCGAAGGCCCACGTGAGATGCTTTTAAAGGAGAAACACGTTCTGCGCCCTAGTGAGCAAGGAGGACAGATGTCACATTCATTCAGTCCTTCCCGCAGACAGCAAGCTGCTGACCTGGGCGGGGGTCGGAGTGGGGGTGACCCCTGGGATGCACGTGGGGCCCCAGGGAGGGGGATCCGTCACCTAGGGGAGGGGACAGGGTGGCCCAGGGGTTAACCGCCGCCACACCGAGGCTGCAGAGAGGCGTCCTGGTGTGCCCAACGCCGGCTCTGAAAGCAAAGTGCGGACTGCCAGGGCCTCCCGGCCTGAAGGACCAGCTCCAGCTGGCTGGGCCTCGTTGGCCCAGCGGGCAGTGATAAGCATCGCGGGATCCCGCCCCGCCCAGACGGGCTGGTGCCCGCTGTGTACAAACTGCAGATGACCTGGGCGACGCCTCCCTGACCGGGCGTGCCCCGCAGCCAGAGACCAGAACCCGGGGCGGCCTCGCCCTCTCTTCCAGCGCCGTGTAGTCGCGGCCGGCCGGAACCGGGCTGGGCCACCACCCAGCTCCGTCCTCCAGGCCCCAGTGAAGCCTCAGAAAATGCCAGAACACCAAGGCCCTCCCCCGCCCACCACCTCCCACTCCCGCTGCAATCCTCACCCGCTGACAGCCACCTGATCCGTACCCACCCCTCGGGCCCGGTCATTCTCCGGCCACGCCTCTTACCTGCCTCACCCAGGAAATCACGAGAGCTCTCTGGAAGGCCCTCCTGCCAGGTCACCGGGGGCTGGAGAAATGAATGACCGGCTGGGGCGGGGGTTGGAGGGGGGGGATGCTGGGCTCTTGTGGGTCGGTCCCTAGCATCCATCCATCCAGTGTCATTTGGAGGAGACCCCCTCATGAGAAGGAGGGCGGGGCGGCAGAAAGGACCGAGAGGCAGGGATGAGAAAGAAGCCACGGAAACAGGAAGTGTCAGTCGCTCAGTAGTGTCCGACTCTTTCCAACCGCATGGACTGTAGCCCACCAGGCTCCTATGTCCGTGGGTTTCCCGGGCAACAATACCCGACTTGGTGGCCCTGCCCTCCTCCGGGGGATATTCCCGACCCCGCCATCGAAACCTGGCTCGTCAGGTTCTTGACCGTCGGAGCCAATGTGGGGGGCGGGGCATAAAGAAAAAAGAGGACGGGGATAGAGAAAAACAGCAGGAGAGAGAGAGGCAAATTAAGAACTAATTCTTGAACCCGAGTTGCTACAAAGACTTTTATTTTTTCTGGACCTGGCTGGGGACACACCTCGGCATTTGCTTTGTGAAAATTCACAGGACGATACACTTGGGACTTGTGTTATTTAAAATTCAATAAGGAGTTCACAGGGGCTTCCTGTGGTGGCTCAGACGGGAAAGGAACCTCCCTGCAATGGATGAGATCTGGATTCACTCCGAGTGGGGAAGATTCCCCTGAAGGAGGAAATGGCAACCCACTCCAGTATTCTCGCCTGGAGAATCCCAGTAGCCTGGAGGGCTAAAGTCTATGGGGTCGTGTCAACTACAAATTGGCACTTAAAGTGCATTGCCAACAACTGTACAACAAAGGCAGTTTGTCATCTGCCTCTAGGGAGATTGAACCTCCTTGCTTCTATTGCTGTTGACCTTCAACAATCCCTGAGGGAGTTCAGGGTGAACTGAGGCACTCTGTGCTCCAGGCGATGTGCTGGGACAGGTCTTTAGTTAGTTGGATGTTTTTAGGAATAGATTTTATGATCTCAATCCTTGCAACTCCTCATATCTAGTCCAGTTCAGCTCAGTTCAGTCGCTCAGTCGTGTCCGACTCTTTGTGACCCCATGAACCGCAGCATGCCAGGCCTCCCTGTCCATCACCAACTCCTGGAGTTTAGTCAAACTCACACCCATTGAGTCAGTGATGCCATCCAACCATCTCATTTTCTGTCGTCCCCTTCTCTTCCCACCTTCAATCTTTCCCAGCATCAGGGTCTTTTCAAATGAAATCAGCTCTTCACATCAGGTGGCCAAAGGGTTGGACTTTCAGCTTCAACATCAGTCCGTCATACCTAGAGAAGCAGTAAATGCCTTCCTGGTGACATAGATCCTCAAGACTAAAAACCTTTTGTAAACCGAGTGCTTCATGGCACTGAACTCCCCCTTCACCAAAACTTCATGTATTCTTTCCCCTACTGCCGCTCTGGCAGTCTCTCAGAGCTAGCTGAGATGCTGCCTCCCAGGGCGGCAGTCCTCATTTTGCCCCAAATAAAACTGAACTCGCAACTCTCAAGTTGTACTTTCTTTTATTCCACAGTTGCAAACGGTCAGACAGGCCTGAACGAACACCACTTGCACAAGGCGGTCAGGCCTTCCAAACACCAAGGTCTCTGGACACGCCCTTGGAGGCAGGGGGCCAATACTGCCGCGTGTAACACTGTGCATACAAGTCCGCGCGTGGGCATGTACAATGGCTGCATACGCGTGCATGTGTGGACACACGTATACACACACGTGAGTGCACCTGTCAGCCTGTGACATCAGCACACGTGCCCGTTCTTCTAGGAGACCCTCTTCCAAGTCGCGGTGCCCGGCTTGACAGGGACACTCCGAGTGTGAGCCCCACTGGGCCTGGAAAGGCAGCCGGACCTCCCCCATCCTGGGACCCCCCCCCCCAAGTGCACCCGGAGGAATCAGGGTTAGGGCTGGGGGACCCCACGGCGGGAAGCTGGGTCCTCCGGAGGCGCTCTCCTGGGCGGACCCGGGTGTCCCGGGCGGGGCATAGGCAAACCTTGCTCCGAAGCCGGCCCGGGCGGGGTTCTGGGGCGGTTTCATACGCTGGGTCAGAACCCACAGACTGCATCGCTCGTCCCCCGGGGCGACGCGGGGCCTGGAGGAAGCCAGGGGTCATCAGGGCCTCTCGGGGCTGCGGGGTTGGGGGTGGGGGTCGCGGCCGGGACTCGGAGGTCTGCGGCGCGGAGACCTGCGCCAGACCCGCGGTCCGGGCCTCAACGATTGGACCGGCCGGACTGGACGATCTCCAGGACCAGCCTGGAGACCCGAGCGTCCGGGGCTACGATCCAGACAAGAGAGGGCGCGGGTCTCCGCAAGGCCCGACCTGTCCCTTTCACCGCCGCAGCCCGTCGCGGCCGCCACACCAAGCGTGACCTTCACAAGGTCAAAGTGGCCGCCTCTCACCTCAATGTGACCCGCCCCGGGCACGCTCGGCGCAGGGGCGGGGCGAGGCTCCCGACATGCCCCGCGGCGCGGCGCGCGGGCTAGGGGGCGGGGCCTGCGTGGTGGCGCAGCCAATAGGTGTGGCGCACGGGGGGCCTCGGGGCAGGGCGAGGCGCAGCTCCCGGCAGCACGCGGGGAGCGCGGCGCACGCCCAAGTGGCGGAGCAGGGCAGCGGCGCGGCCAATGGGCGCGGCCGTACGGACCCACGGGGCGGAACGAGGCGCCGCTCCCGGCAGCCCGCGCGGGGGCGGGGCGCGCGCCCAGGGGGCGGGGCCTGCGTGGCAGCGCAGCCAATGGGCGAGGCGCGCGGGGGCAGCGGGGCGGGGAGCGGGCCCCTTAGCGGCTGCGCGGTGGCCGCCCAGTCCTTTCGGTCCCGGCGGCGGCAGCGCTGAACTAGCGGCGCCCAACCTCCCGCTGTCTCTCTCTGCCCCTCTGCGCCTCCGCTCCGCTCTCCGCCCGCCGCCATGACGGAACAGGCCATCTCCTTCGCCAAGGACTTCCTGGCCGGGGGCATCGCCGCCGCCATCTCCAAGACGGCCGTGGCCCCCATCGAGCGCNGCGGCTCTAGGGCGCGCAGGCGCGGTGGAAGAGCCCCGTGGACTGACCCTGCGAGGCTGGGTGTGGGGTTTGTGCCCTTGGGCGATGGACGGAGTCGCGCGAGGGCAGATCTCTTGTGCCCGTCGTTGTACTGGTCCTCTTTGCCCACTGTTCGCACTTGTTTGCGCGGGTCTGACGCGGAATAAACTGCGCTGGTCTGTTTGGAGCGTCACAAGTAGGGAGCCAGTGGAATTAGTGTTGCAATGTGACTGCAACCCCTAAAGAATATAGGATTCCCCAGGAAGGATGTTAGGAGAGCTTAAAGGCCCCATACAAATGTGTTATTAAGGACACGTTTGTCGTTGGTGATTTTTGCGGGTGTCAACTGCAAATTGACACTTGTGGGCACCTGCTGTCTACCTCTGAAAGCGGTATTAGGTCAGTCGCGTCCGATTCTCGCGACCCCATGGGCTGTAGCCCTGCTAGACTCCTCTGTTCATGGGATTCTGTAGGCGAGGATACTGGAGTGGGTTGCCAAGCTCTTTTCCAGGGAATCTTCCTGACTCAGATCAAACTCGGGTCTCCTGCATTGCGGAGTGATTCTTGACCATCTGAGCCGCCTCTATGAGTATTAAGTCAGGTGCTGCTGACCTTCAAACCCCGTGAAAGGACTTAAGGGTGGAGAGCAGGAATGAGGCATGCGGGTTCTGGGAAAATGTGACAGGTCAGGTCATCAGACAGATGTTTCCAGTGTCTGATTGTGAGCCCATTTCTCGCTTGCCCACCTCATGTTTCAGCTTAGTCGCTCAGTCGTGTCCGATCGTTTGCCGACCCCATGGGCAGCAGCACGTCAGGTTTCCCTCTCCATCATGTGTAGAAAAGCACTAAAAACCTTCATGGTGACGAATGCTCCTTGAGGCTATGAGAAAGGCTCTGCGAAAATACGTGTTTGCTCTGAATTTCCCATTGACCAGAATCTCATCCATACTGACCTTCCTCCTCACCTCTGGAGCAATCTCTCAGCTATCTCAGCTGCTCTCCCCCTGGGGTGTAATTCTCGTTTTGCCCCAGATCTTAATTCGCCACTTCCAAGTTGTGTATTTTTTACAAGTGGACATGGAGTTGTTCCCCCTCACCCCAAGGTGCAGCAGGCCAAGCTTCCCTGTCCATCATGTTTGAAAAAGTATTGAAAACCTTCACGGTGACAAATGTTCCTTGAGTGTAAGAAACGCTCTGCGAAAATATGAACTTGTTGACCAGCATATTGACCTTTCCCTCACCTCCCTGGAGCAGTCGCTCAGAGCTGTCTGAGCTTTACCAGAATCTTCTCATAAGTCGACATGGCGGTGAGCCCAGGCCCCCGGTAGAGTCCTGTGTCTCCCCCGCCGCCCCCCAGGTGCAGCACGCCAGCAAGCAGATCGCGGCCGACAAGCAGTACAAGGGCATCGTGGACTGCATCGTGCGTATCCCCAAGGAGCAGGGCGTGTTATCCTTCTGGCGGGGCAACCTGGCCAACGTCATCCGCTACTTCCCCACGCAAGCCCTCAACTTCGCCTTCAAGGACAAGTACAAGCAGATCTTCCTGGGGGGCGTGGACAAGCACACCCAGTTCTGGAGGTACTTCGCCGGCAACCTGGCCTCGGGCGGGGCGGCCGGTGCCACCTCCCTGTGCTTCGTCTACCCGCTGGATTTCGCCCGGACCCGCCTGGCGGCCGACGTGGGCAAGTCAGGCAGTGAGCGCGAGTTCAAGGGCCTGGGAGACTGTCTGGTGAAGATCACCAAGTCCGACGGCATCCGCGGGCTGTACCAGGGCTTCAACGTGTCCGTGCAGGGCATCATCATCTACCGCGCAGCCTACTTCGGCATCTATGACACCGCCAAGGGTGAGCGCCCTGCTCGAGGTGCTGGAGGCGGGGGTGGGGAATGGCTCCCCGGAGGGTCAGGGCCTTCGGCTCCCTGGGGGCGGGGGTCTGGTCCTGGAGGGAGGGCTGTGCGCTTCAGCTACAGATAGCTGGGGGCTCCCAGCCCTGGAGGCTGGGGCCCCCGGTGTGGGTGGGGCTCTCTCCTGGGCCTGTGGACCCCCTGAATCCTCACGAGCTCCTCCCTCTGGGTGTGTCCGTGTCTGACCTCTTTTCATAAAGACCCCAGTCCTGTGGGCTGAGGACCCACCCTGGTGACGTCGTTTTCACTTTCTCTTGAAAGACCCTCATCTCCTATCAAAGCTACATTCTGGGCTCCTGAGGTTAGGGATTCAACATGTAAATTGGTCACCATTGATAAGAGGGATCCCTGATTGGCCTGGGCAGATATCACAGAGGGCAGCTTAAGCAGCGCACCTTCTTTGCTCCCAGTCCTGGAGGCTGAGACCTGGGTGTGGGCGGGGCTGGTTTCTCCTCTGCGAATCCTCACCTGCTGTCCCCGTGTGTCTGTCTGCCCTGACCTGTTGTTACAAGGACCCCAGTTATAGTGAGTTAGAATTTTTCCCTATGATCTTGGTTCTGTCTGTAAAATATTTGATTTCCCGTATGTACCTACAGTTACATACAATAGCGTTCCTATAGGTACAGTTACGTTCTGTGGTTCCGGGGTTTGGGGCCCCACCACGATCTGGGGGGTGGCACAGCTCAGTCCCTGTAGGGGAGCCGCCCCGGAGGTGGAGCCAGCCGGCTGGCACCCTCTGCAGTGGAGCAGGTGTCAGAGCGTCCCCTCCCTGCCAGCTGCCAGGGCGGGTACTGACCCCAGTCCGGCCCAGCCAGTGTCCCCCGTGGAACTCCACAGGGCAGTGTGGGCGGCCCTGGGCCTCACCCCGTGACCCCTCCGTGCCCGCAGGCATGCTCCCCGACCCCAAGAACACGCACATCGTGGTGAGCTGGATGATCGCGCAGACGGTGACGGCCGTGGCGGGTGTGGTCTCCTACCCCTTCGACACGGTGCGGCGGCGCATGATGATGCAGTCGGGGCGCAAAGGAGGTACTGGCTCCGCTCGGGGTAGGGGGCAGAGGACGTACGTGCTGGCTGTGCTCAGGCCCGGGGGTGGGGGAGGGGCGGTGGCGGTNCTCCTTCGGTCTTTGCCCTGGGCATCATGGGGGCTAGAGTCCTGGGCTTGATCCCCTCCCGAGAGCGCGTGCCCAGAGCCGCCTCTTCTCGGGTCAGGGCTCCTCCTGGCACGCAGAGGGCAGCCCCGGGCTCAGCAGCTCTGCCGGGTCCCCTGGGGCCGCGTCCGAGCGCGCCCTGACCCCGCCGTCTCCCCACAGCCGACATCATGTACAAGGGCACGGTTGATTGCTGGCGGAAGATCCTCAAGGACGAGGGCGGCAAGGCCTTCTTCAAGGGCGCCTGGTCCAACGTGCTGCGCGGCATGGGCGGCGCCTTCGTTCTGGTCCTCTACGACGAGCTCAAGAAGGTCATCTAGGCGCCCGGCCGCCCGCCGCAACCGCCTCGCGCCATCCCTCACTGTGACGGACCACCGACTTCGAGAAATTCCAGCGTCCCCGCCGGGGCCGGGCCGCCCCGCGCCGGGGGCTCCTCGCCGGCGGACCATCGGCCCTGGGTCCACGCGTTGATTGGGGTGGGGGGAGAGGGCAATCGGGGGGGTCTCCGTGGGTCCACAGTCGAGGCAGCTCCGCACACCAGACCTAGACTCCAGGTGCTTGTAGGACCGACCCGTGTTTAAGTATTTATTTAAGAAAATCATGTCTCCATTTGTACTTAAGCACTATCCTCTCTTTGCACAGCCGGGTACTCGCGACTATGTTTCTCCGTCGGGCATTTCCGCTGCGGAACAATAAAATCAGGACACAGAGGCGCTCGTCTCCTTTCTCAGCAGAGTCCTCGAGACGCGGGAAGCAGCGGCAGGTTTGAGACCAGGCCTCCCTGTTCATCACCAACTCCCTTAGTTTGCTCAGACCCATGTTCATCGAGTCGGTGATGCCAGCCAACCATCTCATCCTCTCTCCTCCCCTTCTCTTCCTGCCCTCAGTCTTTCCCAGCATCAGGGTCTTTTCCAATGAGTCAGCTCTTTACATCAGGTGGCCAGAGTATTGGGAGTTTCAGCCTCAGCATCAGTCCTTCCAGTGAACACTCAGGACTGATTTCCTTTAGGATGGACTGGTTGGATCTCCTTGAAGTCCAAGGGACTCTCAAGAGTCTTCTCCAGCACCACAGTTGAGAAGCGTCAATCCTTCGGCGGTCAGCCTTCTCAGCTGTAGCTGGGGTTTAACCACACAGGACCCCCGAGGTGGTGGCAGCTGTGTGGCCCACCCGTGCCCAGGGCTCACTAGGGAATCCCCTCTGAGGTGGGCACCCAGGCTTCCCTGGTGGTGGTGGTTTAGTTGTGAGTCTTTCGTGACCCATGGGCTGAAGCCCCACAAGCTCCTCTGTGCATGGGATTCTCCCGACAAGAACACTGGAGTGGGTTGCCAATTCCTTCAAGGGATCTCCCCAGCCCAGGTCTCCTGCATTGCAGGCAGATTGTTCACCAACTTTTAGGCTCTCGGCTGTCGCCCTTGCAGTGCCAGAGACCCTGGGTTCAATCACTCGCTGAGTGGGGAAGATCCCCTGGAGGAGGGCATGGCAACCCACTCGAGTATTCCTGCCTGGAGAATCCTCTGGACAGAGGAGCCTGGCGGGCTACAGCCCTCGGGGTGTCAGCCATCACTGATGGACTTAAGACACGCCCGCCCCGCCAACCCCCCGCAGCTCAGTATTCCTGCAGAAACCAGAGCCCTCATGTTCACTGCTGGGACCGTCCACCAGGCCGATGTCAGGGTCGTGGTATGTGATTGGGGGCGTGGGGTGGATTCCGAGGCCGCCTCGGGGTGTCTGTGGAGTCATCAACCACCCTGAGCCCTCGGGAGGCTGCACCCAGAGGCGTCCCCTGGCTCCACTTGCCGCTGCCAGCACTGGTGACATTGGAGAGGTCGGGTGGGGGTCATCTGCAGGTCGCAGCCCAACCACAACCCCCACCCCCAAGCTGGATTACGTCCTCGAAAGGCAGGGCTTTGATAATCTGCAGAGCAGTGTGAGGTCACTCCGAGAACAGGAAGTTGGAGCCAGCTGTCCCCAAGGTCGCCCAGCCCACGCTGGAACGAGTCCAGCCCGCGCTCGCCGACGGGGGTTGAGCCAGGCGCCCGCCCACAGAAGTGTCCGGACTTCCGACCCAGCCGCTAGGGCGGACCGACCGAGTCAGGAACCTGTCAGCCCAGACCTGCGCTGCGCCGGTCAGATCCTGGACACGGTGCCTTCGGCACCTTGAGTGGAATAACCGCAGGGGCACGTTGGGCTGGCTTACCTCCCTCAGGCTTGGCAACCCCGCCTCTGCCGTTGGGGTCAATTCTTTGCAGCCAGAACTCAAGCGTGTGAACAAGACTAAAGAGATCTGAGGTCCCTCCTGAGAAGCCCTGAGTTCCTGTGGGGGGGTGGCGGGGATAGGCTAAGTCCTTTCGTGTGTGTGTGTGTGTCTGTGTGTGTGTGTGTGTACACATCTCAATTAAGTGATTTAAGGGGCTTAAAAGGGAAAATGAACGACTAACACACACAATGGGAAATGGAACCATTTAAAGAGAAACCAGGCCAGCCAACACAGTGGACATTTGGGGGTGTCCAGGGGGCTGTGCGGCACTGCGGGGTGACCCGACCCCCCCCCCACCTCCAGGGGGCCCGTGACAGGTCAAAAAGTAGTTTGAGAAATAAGCACAAGGAAGGCAACCCCCCAGTCAGGTGCAGCAGGCTTTCCCATCCTCAGCCGTGCAGCAAACGTCCGCGTCCAACCCGGCCCGGCCATGGGCCCTCCCCGGCGGAAGAACGAAGCCCCCGCTTGCATGAGTTTCATGTTTCCCCCAACACCTGCACCTGGGCCACGGGACACTCTTCCTGGCTCTCCGGCTCCGGGTCCCAGGCCATCTGCAGGGTGCAGGGGGTGGGGGTGAGTGGGGGTTCGCCCCGGAGAACCTCGGATAGCGCAGGGATCCGGACAGGGCACCCCCCGCCTCGGCAGGGGGCTCCCAGACCCGCGCCTCGGGGGGCGAACTCCCCTGCCCATCATGCAGGCTCGGCCACCGCCGGCAGCCAGCGGGAAGTGCGCCCCTAGACCCGGCCACGCGCGCCAGCCCCCGCGCAGCGCGTACCATCCTCTCATTCTGAAAGCTGTCGCCGATGGGGTCTTTCACGTGAGGGACACGCGGGAACAGCTTCCGCATCACCGGCCACCTCGGAGGAGAAGATGTGCAGGTGTGAAACCCGCGCGGCACCGCGGCGCCCCCCAGAGGGCCCAGCGAGGCCTGCAAGCACTCGGACTCCGCCCTCCGTTGGGACGGGGTCTTCGTTCCCAACCCCCGCCCCCCACCATCCGGACACAGAAATTGAAGCCTTAGTAGAGCAGCGGCGGCAGCGAAATCAGCTCCTCTTCAGCACCTCCCCCAAGAACCTGTAAGGATGGAGGCCGCCCCATCCCATCACCATGGCAACCTCCCCGCTCCCAGTGGCGTCCACGGGGAGCAGGTGGACCCCCTGCTTTGGGGCTGCGGCCCATCCACTCCCAACCCTAGCCCCTGGTTAGGCGGTGTGTGTTTGTGTGTCTGTCTGTCTATATATGGGGTCGTGTGTGTCTGTGTGTGTCTACGTGTTTCTGGGTGTGTCCGTGTGTGTGTGTGAAACCAGAAGCTTCACGAGGCAGAAGCCGCAGCGAGCCCCGGTGGTGGGCCGAGGGCGGTGCACGGATGAGGCTGATTGCGCAGCGTTTGGCAGGCACCGCGGGGGCGCGGTCAGGGCTGAAAAGGCAGCACACCGCCGGCGCCCGCCTGCTGCCTGTCTGCTGGGCTCAGGAGGGCTCCCTGAGGCCAGTGCGGAGGTTGCTGCGGGCGGCGGGGAGGGGGCCAACGGCGTCGCGGCGAGGTGTGAAGGGAGCACAGTGCGGGGGGCGGCAGGGGACCGGCCGCAGATAGCGCGCCCCACGTGCACTGAAGGCCCGTGGAGGCAGGGACCCCGCGCCCCGAGGATGGTGCACTGTGGACTTTGGGCTCCTTGGCTTCTGCAGGAGGTAGAGAACAGACGGGGGAAACCAGGGTCCTGTTGATAAAAGACCACTGGGGAGACTGGAAGCGGCGGCCGGAGACCCCGGGGGCGCGCGTCCCGCGGCCAAGACACAGGGCGCACGGGTCCGGGCGGGAGCGCGCGCCGCCGGGCCTGCGGATCGCGCTCCACAAAGTGTCAGCCGCTCAGGGGGGCTCCTCTGTCCGTGAGGATTCTCCAGATAGCGGATACTGGAGTGGGTTGCCCGTGCCCCCCTCCAGAAAAAAACTTCCGGAGCGCAAACCGGGGAGGAGGGGCTCACCTGCGACAGAGAAACAGGAGCCCCACCAGGAGCAGCGCCCCAAGCGGGGCCAGCAGGTACACCAGCCAGAGCGGGAAGGACGCGTCCTTGCGGTCACAGTCTAGGGAAGAAGGGGCGGGCGGGAAATGTCGGGCGGGGCCCGGGACAAGGCCTCCCTGCGGGGCTGGGGACGCAGGGCCGCACCCAGGAGCGCGATCCACCCCGCGGACATCAGCCACCTGCGCCCACTGCCCGGGCCGAGCGGGAGTCCTTCCCAAGCCGCCTGAATACCACTACCTGCCCCCTGCCCCCGCCACTGACCACCAGATGGAGTCTGGTGCACAGAATGTGCCTGCCACGCGGGAGACCCGGGTTGGGTCCCTGGGTCAGGAAGATTCCGCTGGAGAAAGGCATGGCAACCCACTCTACCATTCTGGCCTGGAGAATCCCATGGACAGAGGAGCCTGGTGGGCTACGGTCCATGGGGACGCGGAGAGTCGGACACCACTGAGCGACTGACACTTTCACAGCACGCGCCACTTGGGCAGGTCTGTTTCCCAGGCGAACCATCACCACCTCCTTCCCTGTGGCATACTGGTTACGCCCCTGCGCCAGCCTTTGAATTTAATATATGGTCATCACAAATTTCTCACATCCCTTTGGATTTTTTAAAATGCATTAAAAAGTTTGTCTTCTGAGAGTTTAGGCCATGGCCGTCTGCACACGTGCCTTGCGTATCTCCATGGAGCAACTTGGGCACAGAGTCCATCAAGGATGCGAGGGAGGCGGCCACCGGCCCAGGGATGGACGCCCGGAGCCCCCAGAAGCTGGGAGAGGCGGCAAGGGCCCTTCCCTGGAGCCTCTGCAGGGAGGTCAGCCCTGGGAACCCCTTGACCTCAGACGTCTGGTCTCCAGGACTTGGGAAGGGTGGGTGTCTGTTGCTTAAGCCCTGTCTGTGGTCATTTGTTACAGCCGCCCCCCTCCCCGCCCCAGGACACTCACGCCCACGGCCTCGGCCTGGCGCCCCAGGTTTTCCTGCTGGGTCAGGTCAGGAATGGGATGTGGCCTGGGCCTGAGAGGAGGTGGGGCTTTGGGGCAGAGCTCAAGGACACCCAGCAGCTGTCACCTGGGGAAAGCGTTCTAACTGCGGAGGAAAACCCGTCCCCAGGGCGACTTTGGAGGGAGACAGAGACCCCGCTAGCAGCCCACCCCCAGGGCGACTTTGGGAGGCAGACAGAGACCGAGACCCCGCTAGCAGCCCACCCCTCCCGTATGATGTATGATGGGCTGGGCTGGGGTGGGTGGGGTGGGTGGGGCAGGGCTGGTTCCCTGGGACCATCTCCTGTCTCCCGCCCCCCGCGGGTCAGCCATGGTCCCTGGAGCCCTGTCTGGGGGACTGGGCCAAGGCGGGTGGACGGTCCCCTCTCCCTCCAGCAGGCGCATCAAGGAGCAGCGGTGGTCAGTGTCCGGCAGGCTGCTGGCCACCAGGGGTCCTTGTCTCCGTGACCCCTGCCCCAACACACAGCCGCCCCAGCCCCGCTGCCCACCCCTGGAGAGACCGAGGGGCGTCCCCCTCACCGAGGTGCTGCGGGGCGCTCCACCGGCCCTGGGGTCTGCTCCTGAAGAACAGAGAGTCCATGGCCCTGACCTTCACCGTGTAGGGTCCCGGGTTCCTCAGCCTCAAGGTCTCGAGCTCCGTCTGCAGTTGAAAGGCAAGCAGACGGGGGAGAGACCCCTGCAGATCTGCGGCTGCAGAACGGGGGCTGGGCAGGGGGCGCAGCGGGGCCTCCGCAAGTTCACATGTGGGGGGTCCTGACGCTCGGAGCCTCAGAAGATGCCTCTATGGAACAGGGTCTCTGCCGAGGTGATTCAGTGAAGGGTCTGAGATGAGGTCCCTCCTGGCTGGGGGTGGCCCTAAACCCCACGATGGGACCCTTCTAAGACACAGAAGAGGGGAGACACGGACACAGAGGAGAAGCCACGTGGAGACGGAGGCAGAGACGGGAGGGACAGACAGAGACAGAGACGACGGAGACGGGTTCTCCACTGGCACTCATGACTGCCCGCGGGAACGGCCGCCTCTGCGGGTTGGATGCGGTTAGTTGGGCGTGACGATGCTGTCACCGAGTCCCCGGGATCTAGCCGTGAAGCGGGAGTGCGTAGGTGATAACGCCTGGCCCGTGGGCTGGGGCGCCTCATCTCAGAGGGTCTGGACACCGATTGAAATAAGGAGCCTGTGCTTGGGACGGCAGATTGCGGGGGCCACGCGGGGTGGATACCCACCTCCTCTCTGTAGGCGAGGTCCGTGCCCTGTAAGAGAACAACGGAGCGTGGGAGTCTGATCCACACCCAAGAAAGGCTCATTGGTCCGAGCGGTTTCACGGTCACAGAAAAGCCGACGCTAATCACTCAATGAACAGAAATCACAGATGTCATACGTATGGGATGCCCCAGGCAAGAATCCTGGAGTGGGTCCCCATGCCCTCCTCCAGGGGATCTTCTGGACCCAGAGATCGAACCTGGGTCTCCTGCACTGGCAGGCGGATTCTTTACCATCTGAGCCACCAGGGAAGCCCATAAAACAATAAATAGAGGTAATTGAGTATAGCGTATCAATGAACGGAAAAGTACCTGGGGGAAGGACAAATTAGGAGTTTGGGACTTATATACACGCACTGTGTCTGTGTGTGTACTCGGCCGTGTCTGACTCTGCGACCCCATGGACTCTAGCCCACTGGGCTCCTCTGTCCGTGGGGTTCTCCAGGCAAGGATACTTGAGTGGGTTGCCATGCCCTCCTCCAGGGGGTCTTCCTGACATGGGGACTAAACCCACGTCTCCTGCATTGCAGGCAGATTCTGTCCCATATGAGCCAAACTCCTCCCCGATACAGGCGCTAATATACAATACTTGTTCCTCTCTTTCTGACTTACTTCGCTCTGTATAACACGCTGTAGGTTCACACACCTCATTAGAACTGACTCAAATGCATTCCTTTTCATGACTGAGTAATATTCCATCGTCTGTACATGTTCCACAGCTTCTTTATCCATTCCTCTGTCACTGGGCATCTAGGCGGCTTCTACGTCCGGCTATTGTAAAATAGGACGCTCCAGTTCTTGGTGGATAGGATTCCACTCTGTGGCCATATTTCGGTCATCCTCTCCCTCAAGCAGTGTCGAACTTGGGGACCATTATACACGTAGGTTCTGAGAACACCCAGGCACCATCTTTGGTGGGGAGGAAGGATTTCCTTTCTCGCACGGAAACTGCAGGCTCTGTGACATATGACCAGGTGCTGCTAGTGGTAAAGAAGCTGCCTCCCAGTGCAGGGGACATAAGACACTCGGGTTCGATCCCTGGGTCAGAAAGATCCCCTAGACGAGGACAAGGCAACCCACTCCAGTATCCTTGCCTGGAGCATCCCATGGACAGAGGACCCTGGCGGGCTACAGCCCACGGGGTCGCAGTGTCAGATACAACTGAAGGGAGTTAGCTCAAACGCGTGCATGGGACCCGCGATCAGAGGGTTTCCCCGGTGTCTGTGTCAGCCTTGTCTTTTTCTATCGCGTCATCTGTGTCCTGCACAAGGACAGCTGAGCATGTCTCCTCCACCCCAAACATGACAGAAAACGTTCTTGCACGTTCTGCCTGCTTTTCCAAGCTCACTGTTGTCTTTCAAACACCCAAACGCTTATTTTGTTGTTGCTGTCTCAATTATTTTTTTCTGGACCATTCTTAAAGTCCTTATTGAATCTGTTACAATATTGCTTGTGGATACCCACCTCCTCTCTGTAGGCGAGGTCCGTGCCCTGTAAGAGAACAACGGAGCGTGGGAGTCTGATCCACACCCAAGAAAGGCTCATTGTTACAATATTGCTTCTCTCTTACATTTTTTTTTTTTTTTTTGCCTCGAAGCACATGTGAGCTTAGGTCCCCAACCAGAGATTGAACTCACACCCCCTGCACTGGAAGGGGATGTCTTAACCGACAGATGGCTGGGGAAGTCCCAGACAACCAAATGCTTTGGGTTTCGCTGCTGCTCAGTTATCTCATGGTTCCTCTTTTCTTTAGACGGCTTGACTCCCCCCAGAACTCCAGAGTCCGGGGCATCAGACCACAAGAGACACTCACCTGGGAGGTGGCATGCTTACCTTCTGTATCTCAAGTTCATACTTGAGGTCTTCAGTAAAGAGACTCCTTACTTCCCATTCCATGAATGAGTAGTTTTCGGAACACCATGTTTTTGTGATGTTTGGGGCAGCTAATATTTCTAGGGGAGGGAAAAAAAATTTCTATGAGTAAAGCACATGAAAAGCAAACAAACAAAAAAAAATTGTTTCCCGAAGATACTTTCAAAACAGGCCTCCTAGGACTTCCTTCCCTGTGGATCCACCCAGTGGATACGAATCCACCTGTCAGTGTAGAGGACAGGAGTTCAATCCCTGGTCCAGGAAGACCCCACATGCCCTGGAGCAGCTGTGCCCGTGGGCCACAACTATTAAGACTGTGCTCTGGAGCTGGGGAGCCAGAACCAGCGAGCCCATAAGCTGCAACGACTGGAATCCAAGCGCCCTAGAGCCCATGGAAACCTGTCCTGGATATTCATTGGGAGGACTGATGCTGAAGCTGAAACTCCAATCCTTTGGCCACCTCATGCGAAGAACTGACTCACTGGGAAAGACCCTGATGCTGGGAAAGACTGAAGGCGGGAGGAGAAGGGGACGACAGAGGAGGAGACGGTTGGATGGCATCACCGACTCGATGGACATGAGTTTGAACAAACTTGGGGAGCTGACGATGGACAGGGAGGCCTAGCATGCTGCAGTCCACGGGGTCGCAGAGTTGGACATGACTGACCGAGTAACACATGCCCCCCCCCCCCC